GGAACTCACAGAGGTCCACCTGCCTCAGCCTTCTGAGTGCTGGGATTAAAGGACTGTACCACTATGCCCAGCTGTCAACTCTCTTTTCTAAAAGAGAACCAACAAGAATTTAATAACAATGGCATTTTTTCCTTTCTGACTTATTTCGTAGACTTCACCAGTGAAGCAATCTAAACCCAGGACTTAGACTAGTCACAAAATTCCTTTCAAACTATGAATTCTGATTCTCAAATTGAAATAGAATTACTCAGATTGCTGTTTCTTTTAGCATAACCTTTAGCCACTGTTTCTCAAGGCATTAGGCCTTTACATCAAACATGCTATCCCTGAGCATCTAACCACCCCCTTTTTAATGCCTGTGATGCCTTTTGCAATACATGATCGTGGCAGTTTTCCTTCTGTCTTGATCAGCCTTGAGGCTGACTAATTTCGTTAGTGTCTTGAAAGACCCAAGTTTTGTTTTGTTTCTTTTTTTCCTATCTCATTAAAATTCTACCATTCTCTCCTGCTGTCATTTTTCTATCTTTTTGTTATTGTTTTTATAGCTTCTCACTGTAGCCTCAATTGGCGTGGAGCTTCCGTGTAGATCAAGCTGGTCTCAGACCTGCAGGGCTCCCCCTGTGCCTCCCAGGTGCTGTCCTCAGGCCTGCGCCGCTGTGTCCGGTGTTTTTTTGTTTGGTTTTTTTTTTTTTTCTGTTTCTGTTGTTGCTGCTGCTGATTTGTTTTCGTATCTTCTTTTAAAATACCTGTATTTGTCTTTATCTTATGTGTATGAATGTCTTGCCTACATGTATGTATGCACACCAGTTGTGTTCTTAACCCATGAAGAAGTCAGAAGTAGGTGTCACATGCCCTGGAACTGGAGTTATGAATGGTGGTGAGCCACCCTGTGGGCATTGGGAATTGGACCATGGTCCTCTGAAAGCAGTAAGGTGCTCTTAACCACTGGGCCATCACCCCACCCTCTTTTCTATCTTAAGATCTAGTTTTTGGTATTTAGAGTTCCTTTTTATTTAAAAAAAAAAAAGTGAAAGCTATGCATTTACTTCCAATCGTAGCATTAGGTGCAACTTTCAGATCTTGGTAGTGCCTGATTTTCATCTTCTTTTCAAAGAACTCTCATGTTACCATGTTTTCGTAACGCTGGTGTTATTTAGAGGTGTGCAGTGGGATTTTCTGATGGCTGCCGTGTTTTCGTGTTATTGTTAATTGTTGAAGTCAGTCCAGGTTCCAGTCCCGTGGGCAGCTGGGGGCCTGATAACCTTCCTTCTCCCCGTGACTCTGCTTCCTCCCCCTGCTCTGAAGGAGACGCTCTGGCTCCTTCCATAATGCACACTGCCAGTTCCATGGCGTTTTCTCGCTGCTTTTGCCTATAACTCTCAGCTTTCCAAGGCCCAGTTGTAAGACACCGTGTGAGATGGGTCTAAGGAGAGGAGTGTGGAGGATGATTGGGAGGGGACACAGAAACTGTAGAAGATGAGAAACAAGGCTGAATTTATTTTCAAGGCAAAAGGAATGTTATTTTTTTCTGTGTCATGGCCGTGACATACTTCAGTGTCAATTGGTTAACAGGAACACTTTCTCTCAGGTGTGGGAAGGGATGAAATTTGAGGGGCTCTAAATAACCAAAAACTAGATCTTAAGATAGAAAGTCAAATTCTGTGCTTTGGTCATTGAGGTCTGTGAATACGTACATGCTTTATGGCATGGCAAATTTGGTCATCATTTGATCATCGCAAACTCTTATATTATCGTTGATTTTTGTTGTTGTTGTTAGTTTATTTTATCAATTGTTGAAGTAATTTGTCTAATTTTGTACTGTGGGACTGGGTTTGTCTATTTCTTCTAAAGACTGTCAAATTTTGCTTTCACCTTCTGAAGCTGTTTTTAAGGTTCATATAAATTGATTTGTGTTTATCTCCTGGATAATTTGACCAAGCTTTTTTTTTTTTTTTTTGAAGACTTTTTCTTTTTGTTTTTATGTATATGTGTTTCTGTGGGTGTCTGAGTGCATGTGAGTGCAGGTGTGTGTGGAGGCCAGAAGGGGGCGTCGGATCCCCTGGAGCTGGAGTTGCAGGTGGCTTGTTCCGGTTTCTGGAAACCAAACTCATCCTCTTTGAGAGCAGGAAGTGCTCTAACCCATGAGCCATCTCTCCAGCCCTCTGACCCTTTTTATTTTTATTTTTATTTTTATTTTTTGGATGAAATATTTTCCTTAATGAGTCCTTGAATTAAAAGCTTTGGTGTTCACAGTGGCCGTGACAGTCTTTTTGTCTAGTATGTTTACCATCATATAACTTTATTTTTAACTTGAATTTAAAGTGTAATCCGAAAGTTGAAGGCTTGAGTTTTATAATAAGCATTAACGCTGGAAAAGGTCAAAAGGAAACTCATCCGCAAACAGATTATAACCCACAGGCCATTCTCGTCAGTGCTACAGCTTTGATGTAGAGGACAGAGCTGACAGACCTGTAACACAGGGCCCAGAGCAGCTGTGGGTGTGAAATGGTCACATCAGCCAGATGGCGAATGGACGGAGCGATGTCTGTCTGCAAATTTAAAAGCTTCATCTTAGAGAGGTTTATGTAGAACGTCACATACAAACCGGACATGCCAGTGTGCCATAAAGCTCTGCCTTCTTCACAGAGATGGCTGTTAGCAGAGGTCGGAAGGTACGTGTTAAAGAGGCCACAAAGTGGGTTCTGTAGTGGTAGACATTAGTCCTGGGAACGAGAGCTGACCTCTGGACTCTGAGGCACACAGAGGTGTGTTTGGTGTGTAAGTTGTACCTGTTGATGAAATGCAGGCCCAGTGTTTACGGCGTAGGGGCTTACATGTAAAGCTGTTAGTGTTTCCCCTTTGCTTGGACACATCCTGTAACTGGAGGATGATGCATCGAATCTGATAGGAATTACATGTTTATTTCTTCATACTTTTCAAAGTCTATGTGCTGCTCAAACTTTTAATGCCTCTCTAAGAATCCTGTATTACCCAGCAGCACAATTTGTTGTGGTATTTTTTCCACTCAGAGATCAATTTCTTTTATCTCACATGTTCCCAAAATAGTAGATAAAAGAGTCCCTTTTATGCATACATCAGTAAACAGCTTACTGATCAAAACCCAGCCATCATTTTTTCCCTTGCTAAATCAGAGGGAAATCTTGCCAAAAAGTGAATCCTGGTTTGCTCACTGCACTTGAGACTTATCTCCCACAAAATCAGTAAGAGTGGAAGGCAATCCAGGCAGTGTACATTCATGGCAACTTGGAACAGATTCTGCAGTCTCGCCGACAGCAGAACTCAAAGCTTTCCAGTTGCACTGAGGTGTGAGCAATTTGAGCCTGGTTTTATTTTTAATACGGTAAACAAATAGTAAAAAGTACTGTGTACTGATTAAGTGGTATTATGAGCAGACATATATTTTTACTCTGTACTTAAGACAGGTATGAGACAGAGTTCAAATAAGGAATAGAGTGAGCCAGAAGTGTAGACGGCATGGTGGCCCCCATAAAATTAGACTACATTTTTACCACTGTTTATAGGAAACATACTCTTTGGCACACGCATCCTATAGACCAGCGGCAACAGAACCCCATGGTTTAAAGTAGACTGCATGCAGATGCCTAGGAACATCCCCCAAACTGAAAGCAGTTGGGAAGATAAGTACCAAGAACCTAAACAGGTCCTTGTATTAAAAGTGTTGAAGAAAGTGGTTTTAAAATCTGTGTTGTTAAAATATGATAATCTAAAGGAAACTCTTGCATGTTTTGTTCTAGTTTTATTTACTCACGTTTAGAGGCAGGGTCTTTATAGCCCAGGCTGGCTCGGAAATAACTTTGTAGCTCAGGCTGGCCTTAGATTCACGGAGTTCCTCCTGTCTCAGCCTCTCAAGGGTTGAGGTTACTGCTGAGTGCTACCACACACAGCCTTATAGTAAATCCTTCTGGGGAGATTTTGTGGGGTTTACCACTGTGACGGACAGGTACACAAAATGTAAAAAAGCCACCTTTCATTTTGTGTTCTAAGAGTTTACATATTTGGTAAAATTAAGTTTTCTCCTTCTTCCTTAAATTATTTTGCTTTGGAGGATTAAAGGTAATTTTTCCTACAAAATTTCACATTGTGACTTAAAAAAATATTTGCCCAATTAGCAAGAGTTGGTATACCATGTTGGCAAGCACCTTTGAACTTTTTAGACTTTCGCTCTGTTTCATGAGCTCGTCAGGGTTAGTCTCCATCAGCTGGGGCTGAGGACCAGTCACCATGGAGGAGGTTGGTATAACCATAAAAAAACCCAATGAAGTCTAAGAATACCGAGAAAGGGGAAAAATAATTTTTAAAAAAAGCAGTGTGTTTACATATATTTTCAAGTATGAATCTTTGTGTCATCTCCTCCACCCCCATGTGTGTGTGTGTGTGTGTGTGTGTGTGTGTGTGTGTGTGTGGTGTGTGTATATGTATGTATGTCTGTATGTGTGTGTATGTATATATGTGTGTGTGTATGTATGTATGTCTGTGTGTGTGTGTGTGTGTGTGTGTGTGTGTGTGTGTGTGTGTGTGTGTGTGTATGCACATGTACAGACGAGAAATCCAATCAGGCGACTTCCTCAGTCACTTTCCACCTCTTTTTGAGAGACAGAGTGTCTCACTGAACCTGAAACTTTCACACGGATTAAACAAACCCCAGGAATCCACCGTCTCCACCTGGGTAGCACTGGGATTACAGACTTGCACCAACCACCACACCAAGCTTTTAGCATAGTTGTTGGGGAATCTGAACCCATTTGATTGGCTGTGTCAAAAGGAGATCTAAAGCATCCTGTGCCTAGGGTAGGCATCGTAGTAGCAGCATCAGTACCATGCTGCTGTTACTTCCTGGGATGGAGAAGAACTCTCTACAGTTCCAATGAGGCTTTGTGAAGAAGGGAGTGAAAAGTCTGGTTTTGAGAAGCAGAAATTCTTGCTCAGGAGGCCCTGTCTCTCTGTGTTTGCTGTTCTAGATGCTGCTCCTTGTAGTAAGTGTGATAGCCGTGGCGGCCGCAGTGATTCCTTGGATTATAATCCCCTTGGTCCCACTCGCCATCATCTTCTTGTTTCTTCGGAGATATTTCTTAGAAACGTCAAGGGATGTCAAGCGCCTGGAGTCCACAAGTGAGTACTGAGGGTCTTGGGTGGGTATGGTAAATGCACCAAGTTTCCATAATTAAGAAGAACTGTTGAAGATCCACGAAATTCTGCAGACTGATTGTGCTCCAACAGTTCTCACCTGGTTAGCATTCATTCGGCGATTGAACGTGGTTATTGCAACCAACAGGAATCATTGTTACATCGTGTAGAGCAGGTGACTTCCCAAGTGTGACTTTGCAGCTTACCCTGAGGAAGAGGTCGATGCCCTGTGTAGACTGATACTCCCCGAGGAAGCGACTCTCCTCTGTTGCTCATGACATACCTCCTCACATACGCAGAGGAGGCACACAAGAAGTGTTTCCTGATAAATAAAGTATTTCAGCATGGGTCGGAACTAACTTAGAAGGAAAGTAATCAGGGAAGTTTTCTTACCTTGAAAGTTCTGGAAGTGACAAAGGAAGGAACAGATTACAGGAGAGCGGGGAGGGCTGCCAAACTACTTGTGTGCTGCCGGAAGCCATGGTCTTGAAAAGCACGGTTTGTGCTCATCATTGATAATGGGTTGTGGGTGTTGACCCTTTGGAACTGTAAGCATGGACACTTCTTTTAGTGTCAGTGCTGACTGTGGGCAGCACTTGGTGGAAGGCTGCACAGACTCATCTACTTTGGAGAGCAGCAGCAGGAAGAGCAATCAAAAACACGTTTAGTCCATCGCTCCCTTTACCCTCCTCGTTTGGGGGCAAGAAGGAAATGTTTTATGATTAATCACTATTCTGTAGGTAACCACAGAAGATGAACTGATCGGGAGCCTGTCTCATTATGAATGCATGAGCATATTTCGTTATTATTAAAATTAAGGGCCATATACACACAGAATTCTTACTTCTAAATATATATATGGACAATAGCCAAAAAAATAAAGAAGGAAGATACTTGTAATCTTTTAAAAATTATTTATTTACGTAGATGTGTGCATGTCTATACGTATGTGTTCTTGGAGGCCAGAAGAGGGTGTTGGGTCCCCTGAAACTATAGTTACAGATGGTTGTGAGCTGCAAGATGTAGGTGCTGGGAGCTAAACTTGTGTCCTGGATGAGGAGCAGGCAGTCTTAACCACTGAGGCATCAGCCCCCAAAAGGAAGATATTGGTCCCGGAAAATGTCCATGATGAATAATTGCTACGAGAATTTAAAGCCAGCTCAACTTTCTGAAAGCCGAGCCAGGCAGTGTTTGAATACTGTGGTTATAAGTTCATCGGGACAAAGGACTTTCTTTTCTCATGACCTAACATGTGTGTTTAAATAAACTCTAAGGAGACATTAATCATAACTATGTAAAGCAGGTGACACTTCATAAAAGCTATTGAAAAATGGCCAGCCATCAGAACCAGGGAAGTTGCTGTGAGCCCCACGTTGTGATGTGTTTCAGTGGCAGGTGGTGGTCAGCATGCTGATGTGTCCTGCTGCAGAGATGGGGCTCAGAGGGGTCAGAGAGTAAAGGCATTGCCGAGCGACCCTCCTTTGTGCATTTCCCTGTCTTTCATTCACAAGCCTTGTTGCAGAGGACGCTGTGAACATATTCAGAGGAAGGCTGGCCATCCCAAAAGCATCACCTTGACATAGACTTTTGTTGGTGGCAAGAGCCACTGAGCCGTTTCCTTCCAGTTCCATGTAGGACTTCCCGTCTTGGTGCCCAAGACATACCTTGATACGGTTTTGACCTAGAAATTCTCATACCTTTGTCTGGGCCCCTGCTGGACTCTTAGGGTTTGTGGTACCCTAGCTGGCTGCAACAGTAAGCTTAAAGATAACCAGATGAACCGTCTCTTGTTAGCCATTTGAGTGAGAGTCGATGTTACAGTTCCACCGTTTCTATCAAGCACCGGTTGATGGTGTCTGTGTGGCCAATGCCACCATCAAAAGAAGCTACCTGTTTGCCGTGACAAGAAGGCATGAACCTGCCTCATCCTTGAGCTTCAAGAGGTTTTTAGAGCTCTAGATTTTATTTTTAGATTATGCTCGCTAACTGCCTCTGTAACTATCGATGGGTTTAATAAGAGTTTATCATACTGTTTTTATGTTTTTATTTATTTAATTTTTTGCAAAAGCAAACGTTGCGATGGCCACTGGTAGAGAATCACATAAAACCACAACAGTACTTGGCTGCCTATCTCAAGTTGACACTGTCATTTAGTAATGCCTAGATTGTGAGGGTATATGCCGTTTCTATCAGGGTGCTGTGATCCATTAGCGATGTCTGCCATGGGCACCAGCTAGCCAAGTGTTAACCTATGATATATATTTTCAAAACATAGATCCTGGAGTCTGCTCTTTTAATGAGTTCCATGTCAGATCCTTGTTGTTCAACTTGAGATGCTTAATAAGAAGCCCAGTAAAGGAGATTCCTATTAAACGTTAGCTGAGTAAGATTTGAGAGTGTTCTGTGTGACGGAGTCTAGAGAAAAATGCATCCAGTGATACATGGCATTGCTGTGGGATGGTCTGTATGTCAAATGTGTTGCTGATTGGTCAATAAATAAATCACTGATTGGCCCGTGGTCAGGCAGGAAGTATAGGCGGGACAAGGAGGAGAATAGATCTGGGAAGTGGAAGGCTGAGTCAGAGAGACACTGCCAGCCGCCATGATGACAAGCCGCATGTGAAGATGCCGGTAAGCCACGAGCCATGTGGCAAGGTATAGATTAATGAAAATGGATTAATTTAAGCTATAAGAACAGTTAGCAAGAAGCCTGCCACAGCCATACAGTTTGTAACCGATATAAGTCTGTGTTTACTTGGTTGGGTCTGACGGCTGTGGGACTGGCGGGTGAGAGAGATTTGTCCTGACTGTGGGCCAGGCAGGAAAACTCTAGCTACATGGCATACTTAATTCAGATTGTCTTTGTTTTGAGACACTGGCTCAGATTAAAGGTACATTGGAAGTAAGACAGTTATGTATAGTGCTCTGAGTACCTCCAATGCCTTCTTCCCTTTGTGAAGGCTATTAATACCTGCCTTGTAGGGTTCTTATTGCCTGAGGTAATGCTTGGAAGTCCTTGCTGGCCACTACCAAAGGCAATAATAGAATTTTGTACACAAGGAAATTAAAAACAGTAGTGACGTGTCTTCCATAACACTTCATGACATCCTGAAGGTGTCGTGGCAGGGCAGGAATGTGGCCTGCAGCTGTCTTCCGTGAGCCTTCCCTGAGAAGAAGCATAATTTCTTAGGTTGTGTCCCAGAGAGCCCTCGGGGTCTTGGAACATGCCACAGTATTATGAAATGTGGGGTTCTATCTGCCTGAAATTGCTGAGGAATGCCACCAGTGTCATAGTCTATTTCAGGATATTCTTGCATTGATGTGGGAAAAAGACAAGATGACCTCCATAATGTTGCATGCTAGTTAGTTGTCTTTGCAATGCCCTTTGTTTACCCAGCTGACACCCTGCATGGCCCTGAGCAGATAAGCAGGGCACTGAAGAAACAGGACCACTGTTTGATGGTACAGGTTCCTGCCCCGCTCTTGGGGTAGGATGTTGAGGTGGCTGGGTGGGTGAGGGTGCTTGCCTGATCTGTGTTTGATTGCCCTCCTCTCCCATCCTGGAACCCATGTAAAGGTGGAAGCAAACCAGCCCCATGAAATCGGCCTCTGACCTCCACGGGCATGCCATGGGACATACATGCCATCTCCACTCCAACAATTTCTTTTTTAAAAAGACCTCCTGGGGTGCATTTAAGTACAGAAGTTTCTTAGGGCACATTTAAATTGACCTGGAGTTTTCTGGTGCTCAAGGCTGAAGTGATACCTACGTTCTAAAGTAGATCTGTCCTTAACCTCAGCTTTGAGACCCAGTGGTGACGTTGATCTAACAAGAAACAGTGAGGATGGGCAGGCTGACACGTTACTTTGGCGACCTTCCCTGGTAACCACCACCTCTGACAGCATCAGCTGTGATTAAAGAGTTTTCATGTCGTGGTATCACTTATCCCAGAAATGAGGGCACAGTGTGTCTAGACTCTCCATAGCTAGACTCTGGCATTCTCCTGGTACCGTAACAAGCATGGGATTTACAGGGTAGTCATCTATGCAGATACTCTGTTTGCAGAATGACAATTCCATGCCAGGCGGGACGTTCTCTGAGGCCTACAGAAAAGGCTGCTGTAGGTTCAGCCCACTTAGGTTCCCTTATCCATCTTTAAGGGGTAGACATGTAGTCAGTACACTGAAGAGGGAGAATAGCATGGGTGAGAGAGCGGGAACGTGAAAGTGTGGGCACCTTCAGAACGTTCGCCCCCAATTACCTAGGGTTCTTCAGACAGTACAGTCCTGGTTGGCAGGGCTCTGTTCAGAGAGTGTTTCCTTTCAGAAAGGAATATCGCACGGGAAGACTTCTTTTGGTCAGGTAGCCCGGTCAGGAAAGAGCCTCAGGGAGAAACAGGGGGCCACATGCTCAGTGAAGAGGCTGCCCATCTCCCCTGGCCCCAGTGTTTTGTCTTTAGAAATGTATTCCTTCCTTGATTACCCGCCAGTGAACTCTGACTTACAAGAAGATTCTCTGTCTAGGTGCACGTGTATCCCAACACACACCTCACCACCAATCCGTGCAGTACTTGTGCGCACAGTACACATGCCACTGGGAGACAGCGCAGTCACACAGACAGGCACAGGGATGCCCCAAAGAATAAGCATACATTTTCTCTTGATTGTTTCCCCTCATTTTATAAGCTCCATGCAGCAAGCTATAAAATGAGTTTCTTCACTCCCAAACCCTCCATGCTTTATCTACAGCCACATGGCGATGATTCGTCAGTATCCTCACTTGAAAAGCATAAACAAGGAGCTCAGCTGATAGAGTTCTTATCTGGCACTCACTAAGCCATAGGTTCAATACCCAACACCGTAAAACTGAGCGTGGTGGTGCACACCTGTAATCGCTGTCCTCTGGAGCTGGAGGCAGGAGGGCCCTAAGTTCAGGGTCATCCTCAGCTATCTAGTGTGTTTGCTGTCAGCCCTTTGAAGACAGTTTGCTGGGTCATGGGCTCCTGATCTACTCTAGCCCCCAGTACAGTCTTACCCATGGTGTAGAACGAGCCTGCCAGGGAACCATCCTTGCCTAACAGTGGGCAGCCCACGTGCCATGACCACCACCCTGGTGGTCATGATGCAGGATTCTGGAAACACAAAACCCATTGCAGCAGGACGTTAGTCCCCATAGTCAAAGACAGACAAAGGAGAATTTGTCCTTTAAATTCTGGTACGATGATGAAGCCACTTAGACTGCAATGCGAGTCTGGGAAAGTAAGGACAGTGACACATGCCACACTAACCTCCACCTTGAGAATAAGTTTCCAAGTGGGCAGTCATACAGACTGACGCTGAAGTCCAGGCCAGCCCAGAGAGATCCCATCTGGGTCAGTGGTATGGGCACGAGTGCTGTGTGGCACCCAGACACATGTGACCGTACAAGACTATTCTCACACTGGTGGGAAGAGGAAGCTTCTCTTGGATGCACAGAGGAGACCCTGTCCATTTGGCTTACTTGTTGGCTGTCTGTCTGTCTGTCTGTGTCGGGTACTCTTTTAGTAATTTGGAAATGATAGTCATATGCCAGCCCTTAAAATAAGTCTAAGATGGGGAAAGACGCATACATATCTTGCTTGAATGTTCTGTGATAAGTCCTCTAATGAAATTATTTTTTAGAACACTACTGGCCAAAATTAAAATAATCAGTGGAAAGTAATTTCTTCCCAAAGAAATAGCTGGGAAGTATAGGAAAGAAGAGACCTGGAAGGATGGGCTAGAGAAGGGAACTAGGTTTGGCTTTGGTCAAGGGCGTACCGAACAGAAGCACTCATTCCCATCTTTAAAATGAGGCTCCGTTGACCAGGGTTTGAGCGTGGGTGGACAGGGTCTTCTGCAGGCTTCCGGGAGTGCTTTGAGTAGAGACCTAGAGCCCTTTAGGAAGCCCCGAGAGCCCTGCTTGGTGATGGCGTCTACACCATGGAGCATGGGAGGCCGGGGGAGGCCGTGCATCCAGCCCCACTGAGCTTCCTGCTCTCTGTCCATCCCTGTTTCCACAGCGCGGAGTCCCGTCTTCTCCCACCTGTCCTCTTCCCTCCAGGGACTCTGGACCATCCGGTCATACCGAGCTGAGGAGAGGTTCCAGGAACTGTTTGATGCGCACCAGGACTTGCATTCAGGTCTGTACATTTCTGGAAGTGATTTCAAAAACTGGCAGCTGCCGTTCCCTCGGGTTTGATGCCTATAGGCGATTGGCTTTGTTGGCCCGCACCTCTGCTTGCTCCTGGACTCATGCCTTCTCCATCTGCTCTTAGGCTCTGAACCCTCTCAGAATCTCTCCTGTGTCTGGCTTTCTTCTGATTGGCTTGCTCAATCCTTCCTGTGGCTCCCTGTCTGTTTAGGGCCTCAGTCAGCAGACCTATTTTGCAAAAGGCCCCCTGGCAAACACTTCCTTCAGTGAGCTCTATCTTGTCCCTGCTGCAATTTTTCCTTGGTCGCTGTAAGCAGGAGGCGAGTGCCAGCAGTACATCAGCATGGGCTGTGGCTGGACTCCAGGAAAGCTTGATTTCACAGACATGTGATGGACTGACCCTTCTTGGTCCGTGGGCCATAGATGGCTAACTGTTTAGTTGGCGGACACAGGGCAGCAGATGTGACTGACGGCTGCTGCCCGCTTGCTGTTCTTTATGTCTGTGTGAGTTCTTTCCCCCCAGGAGTAAGTCTGTAAAATCTGCTCCACCTTTACTGTGTTTTGATGACTCAAGGGCACTTTAAAAACTACTTGAGGTCCCTTTTAGCACACTAGTCATTTGGATGCAGCCCCTAAGCCGTGTCCCATCCCCAGCCCCAGTGTGTGCAGAACGCTCAAGGAAGGAAAGTATTGGAGGCAAATTGGGAGCTGTGTCCTTTGCTGTAGAACTGGGAGCAGTCAACCTATACGCTGGTGGGCTTCATATCATAGCCTAGTACTTCCAGAAGTAGAAGACATTTTTCCATGTTTATTATGAGTATATATACCTGCTTGTTACCTCTTAGGTGTATCTTTCAATTCCTTGTGTTTTTTTTCTTTTCTTTTTTGCAAATCCTCTGTACTGTTTGGGGTATGTGTTGTACATTCATTGCTTTGCATTTCCTGACTTTCTGGAAATGTGGAGTGTGCGGCCTCGCTGCCCTACTCCGTCTCAGCGTCTCAGTGCCCATCACGCTCACTGCAGTTCATAGGGTTTTGTACTTACTCACCGTGCTTGTTCTGGTTCTCAAACCCAGAGGCCTGGTTCTTGTTTTTGACGACATCGAGATGGTTCGCCGTGCGTCTGGATGCCATCTGTGCCATTTTTGTCATCGTTGTTGCCTTCGGGTCCCTGATTCTGGCAAAAAGTAAGTGCAGATGTGGATAACTATTTATGGTATGATTACAATTTATAGCTGTGTTTACAGTTATTAAATTAAACTCTTGCCACCTTGTCTAATGGCACATTCTGTGTGGTTCTAATAAAGTGTGTTAAAGTTTTTACAACATGTCAGGGTGGGTAGGATCGTGCAGTATGATCCGATGAGAGAGTCTGGGTAAGTTCTTTTTATCTTTGTTAGGATGAGCTGAGGTCTGTACAGTGACATTCTGAAAATCTCTGATCTGGTAGCCCTTAGATGAGAACCAAGTTTACTGTTAACATTTTGTCCAGACTGGGGCTTTATATTTGAGCCCTGGGACTTCTTGGTTTGTTGATGTCCCTATGCACATGGGTGTGAGAGATGCCCAGCATGCTCACTGCCAGGTGGGTACCAGAGGAGCAGGTATTGGCACCTGCAGCATGAATTCACCATGCCTAACCCCTCTACGGTGACACCATTGAGTTACAGTGTTTATTAATAGAACAGTGGGAGTCGTATTTTACTTTCAAAAGCATTGACTCTTATAACACATCATCTTGTTTGCCGTGGTTTCCAACTGTGGTTACATGGAACATAGACAGTGGGATTATGTAACAGGCTTTAAACCATAATGAGTCTGAATAATAACATTACATTTCACACATACAATGCCCTTTCTCAAACGTGTGACAATACTACTGAGATTAATAAACTCATCTAAATAGTCTTTCAGCATTCATAATGGGCTTTTAAAATTGCATCATGATCTCAGTCAATATACATAGAAAGGTAAAGATGACTTTCGTTGTATACAACTCATTGGATCCTCTTGGTAAGGTAGCAGAAGGTAGCAGGCTGGGATTGCCATTGAGGCTGACTGTCCTTTCTCCTTCCTCCTTGAAAAGCTTTGGATGCTGGGCAAGTTGGCTTGGCCTTATCCTACGCCCTCACACTCATGGGGATGTTCCAGTGGTCTGTGCGACAAAGTGCCGAAGTGGAGAATATGGTAATGTTTATCTGAGAGTTTTCAGCCTTTTAAAGTCCCCTTTGCCATTCAATGACATAAAAGCAATTCTTATGTAAAATATTAAAACTGTTATTTTTGCATCGTAGCTAACGGAGTTTTGTTTGTTTTTTTTTTTTAAGGTCCCGCTTCCATCTGCTTAATGTTAATGTAAAATAAAATGTATACATCTTTTTCTCTGTCTCTTGTATGCTATGTCAGCAGGTTTTAGATTCATCACAAGCTGTCTTCAAATGTAATAAATGCCTCTGTAGGAGGGAAGTTCTGAAATCCAAGAGAGGATATAGGCTAATTTCTCAGAGGCCTGTTTATTTTTGTTTCTTAATGGATAACTCCTCATTCTTGGTAAAAGAAGAACTCCGTATTTTGAGACTGTTTGTTTAATTAATAGCTCTCCCCACTCCCCCATTCCTACACTCTCATCACCAGCCTTAGCATCTCCCAGGAGTGGAGTAGAAGGCAGGAGGCCCCAGGATTGCTGCTCTTGGTTCCTGGTGGCCAAGCTCCCATCTCTAAGGTGCTTTTCAAAGGTAGCAGGTCATGGCGATAGCAGAAGGTTTAGTCAGCACGAGAATTGCTTTCTCTTCAAAGTGTTTATTCCTGTTAATGAGATAAACAGTGAACATGGGATACCTCCATTTCTCTTCTCCCACACAATAGAAATTGTTACTGAGGGACTTGAAGATGTATGAGGTAACTGGTCTAGAATGAGTGGCCATTCTGTAGCAAGAGGTTATTGAGTGTTGGTTATAAACTCTTGGTTTTAATTTTTTTTCATTTTTTTGTGCTTGTGGAAGGTGCATGTGTGTGTGTGTATTGTGCGTGTTGCATGTGCAACTGGCTAGCCAGTGAGCCCTGCCATCTGTCTCCACCCCACTAACACTTGGGTGACAGATCCCAGTGCTTAGATTTTTGTTTACAGGGGTGCTGGGATCCAAACCCAGGTTTTCATGTTTGCACAGCAGTCAGTTTATCCACTCAGCCATCTCTTCAGCCCCTCCTCTTGCTTTTCACTTAGTGCTGGAAGGTTGAAGGGATTGGCTATAATAAGTGAAGGTATCAGATGGTGGTGAGTAAAATGTAAGTCATCAGGGTCCTCAATGGTCTTGGTAGATGGAAAGACCCACGCGGGCCTTGCCCAGCTGTGTGTAGGTGAGATATCTCCGCGAGCAAGCCCCTGGTTCCTGACTCATGTGGATGCCTTTTCTGTTTCAGATGATTTCTGTGGAGAGGGTGATTGAATACACAGACCTAGAAAAGGAGGCGCCTTGGGAGTACCAGAAACGCCCACCCCCAGGCTGGCCCCACGAAGGGGTGATCGTGTTTGACAATATGAACTTCACCTACAGCTTAGATGGGCCTCTGGTACTCAAGCACCTGACCGCACTCATCAAATCCAGAGAAAAGGTTGGTTTAAACCATCTTGCTCCTCTAGGGTTTCCACTGACAATTAAGGCCACATCTGCATGCTAACTTCCTGCTGAGTCTGTCAGCAAGACTCTCTGCTCCTCTGTGGATGCTAATCAGTCCAGCAGTGCGTAGGTAAGTCTTTGGAGATGGAACATATGATGGGAAAGTATTCTCTTTTTTTTTTATGTATGGCTTTGCGCCTTTCCTGGAACTCACTCTGTAGCCCAGGCTGTCCTCAAACTCACAGAGATTCGCCTACCTCTGCCTCCCGAGTGCTGGGATTAAAGGCGTGCACCACCACCAGCCGGCAAAAGTATTCTCTTTTAAAAATAATCCCCACTTATTAACTTTTTCAATTATTCTGAAGTATTATATAATAGCTTTGAATTTTTTATCAAAAACATTCTCATTGTTTGAAGAAGAACCTAGCTTTCCTGGCATTTAACCTGTCTAGAGTTAAATATAATTGAGAGAGAATGTATCTGATCTAACGAGTCATAATAATTATCTAATCTGATGATGTCCCTGGATCCTTGTCACTGAGACATCCCTGTCTACTTCCTTCCTGTTGCTTTTATTCCTCCGTTGAGTCCAATGCTTTTCCTCATCCCATCTTCCACTCCAACCCTCCTCTCCTTATCCGGTACCCTAGTCCTTTTCCTTGGTTTTTCTTGCTTTCCTCCCAGATGTGCCCAACCCCTGACCCATGGGCCGCATGAGGTCCAGGTTAGCTGTGAACATAGACCATCAGAAAATTATACATTCACTGAAAACTTGGATGTGTTTCTGTTTTGCAGTTTTTCTTTTGTAACTCAGTTGTACCTTGTAGATGACCTTGTCCTGTCTCGGTGTCAACAGGTTGGACACCCTGCCTCTCTTTTCTCCGTTATCTCCCACAGCTGACGGATTTGTGCTCCCCTGTTGCCTCCTGTCCTGGGCAAGCTGTTGCTGTTGTGATACAGGCCCAGACTACTCTGGTAGAACTGTAAGGCCAGTTCTCAGCCACCATGGCACCCAACCAGAGCTTGGTGGCCAGAGCTCAGGCTGAAGAGACTCAGGCAGAGTAGATTAAAGAGATTCAGAACCTGCTGGGGAGTGTGGGGGGGTATGGACTGATCGGCCAGCAAGTACACCTATTTCAGTGGCTCTTGCACTCATGGTCTGGTGCCCTGGACCAGGACCAGAGCAGACTCTTGAGCAGACCAGACCATAGCAAACCAGGCAATAAGAAGCACTGTGCCCACATGCTGCTCCAGCCTTGGCTCCCTGCACAGGAAGGCACCCCTACACATGGTGTCCTTGGCTGCCCTCTCGGCTCTCGGTGGGCACCTGAAGTCGCAGCCTTGGCTGTCCTTTCCTGCCGCTGGCCGATGCTTACATCTTGACTTCTGTGGTACAGAGCCTTTAGCTGTTCTTTCTTTCTCCTAGAAATCAGCCCATGATCCCTGTAGCCCCTCCCTCCCCAGATGCTCAGTTGATAACAAACTGCTGCAGCCTTGTAGCTCCTTCCCTACCCTTGCGGATAAAAGATAAGTTTGGGGTCCTACCTAGTGCCTGCCTCCGTTGTTCCCCTTGGCAGGCCAGGTCAAGTGGCATGCAGCTTACTCAACCTCTCCACCATGGGAAGGTGTAAGTATTAGCAGCTCCTTTGTTCCTAGGGACCTGAAGAGTCTGTCCTTTCCCTTCAGGACCAGCATTGTGCTTTATATAGCCACTATCCCTTCTAATCCTCTCTTATTTCAGAGCCTCCCCAAGGCTGAAGTGTGTGACTTCTGAGTCTATATCTCTTCCATTAAGTTCTTCTGAGGTTAACTTACAACCCTTTTCATTCATGTAAACTGTCTGCCTCAGTGGAAGTCTCTTCTCTCAGACCTCTTCTAGATGCTTGAAGATTGTGTTTTTGTTGTCCTGGTGTTCAATGCAGAATCACTCACAGTGACCAAAAGGTGGGAGCAGCCTGAGCACCCTGAGGGTAGGTGAAGTGTGGTGGATACGTGCTGCAGATGGTGTTCAGTCTTTAAAGGGAAGGAAGCCACAGAAGCATGTATATGTGGTTCATACATACACCCACTGTACCACCTGAGTTGTCCAGCTCATAGAAACATGAAGGAGGATGTCTTCAGAGCCTGGGACAGAGGGGAGCATGAAATGAGGAGGGCTGTGATGGGCACAGGAGTTCTTATATTGCAGACGAAGAAGAGCTCTGGATGTGGATAACAATGACATTGCACACCAGTGTAAATATAGTTAACACTACTGACCTGTGTGCTTAAAATAGTCATGATGGAGAATTTTATGTTATCTTCCCACAATTTAGAAAGTGTATAAATAGTTAAGAATGATAGTTAATCTAGTTGTCAATGTGATGAGATTTATAGTCACCTGGGAAACAGGCCTCTAGGCATGCCTGTGGTGGGGGGCCATCTTACCTAGTTTATTCAGGTAAGGAGACTGGTCCACTGTGGGTGGCACCATTCCCAGAACTGGAGTCACGAGAAATGGAACTTGATAAGCACCCATCACTCTTGTTTCATGACTGTGGAGGTGTGTGGCAGCTACCTCACGTTCCTGATGCTCGGAGTTCCCCATTGTGGTGGACTGGAACCTTGGCTGCCAAAACAAACCCTTTCTCTCTGTTTCTGTCAGGGTATTTTTGGCAAAGTAACTAAGACAAATACATCTGTGTATTTTGCCACAGGTTTGTCTCTGTGTGCATGCGTGCGTGCGTGTCTGTGTGCGTGCGTGTGTGCGTGCGTGCGTGCGTGTGTGTGTGTGTGTGTGTGTGTGTGTGTGTGTGTGTGTGTGTGTGTGTTGTGGCATGGTTTTCAACTCTGTATCTGTATTTCGGTGTCCTGGGGCTTTCGGAGGTTAGGGAACCTACCACACTCTTCCTTTTTCCCCAGTGAATGGCATTCTGCAGGGTACATGCTAGATACTGAGGACAGCGGACTGTGAGCACGTGTGACCGAGAAGCAATATGCAGGCAGGAAGAAGCCTATAGCAACACACTTTGTGAGACAACTCTGTCACCAGCCCTTCTCCTAAAAGGGCGTGGGAAATCCCCCCCCCTCCCCACTCCCTTTATTTTTATTGTTACGCTCCTGTGGATTGAATCCAGAGACTTACATGTGATAGGCAAACGCCACCGTGCGCTATAACCCAGCCCCTGGAGTGTTAAATACTTAGCAAGCTGCTCCTTTTAAGCTCTCCGTACCACCAACCCATTTAATGGCCTCATCACAGCTGTGATTTAATGAATGATACCCCTGTGACATGAAAGAATGAATGTACAGCGTGGTGCCCAAAGGGTATGCAGTGAGCAGCTTTAGTAAGCCACTTGGCAAAAGCCCGATCCTAATTATTTCCATGGCTTCCTTGTAGGTCTGGAGATGGGGTGGCTGACTGTGTGGGTAAAACATGAGCTGCAGCGTTGATGAAAGCCAAGCCTCTCCGGTGGTGTCCTGACAGCTCTGTAGGATGTTTGCTTGCTTGCAGACAGCATGCTTATCAGATCTGACGTCGCAGGCGCAATTCTCTTAATTTGCACGTGTCTTCAATTTCCCTGGGAGCCACAAAAGATGAATTATATAAGGAACTCTGTTGAACAACCTAGAAAACAATGTATAGCCCCAGACTTGTAGTCTGAGATCCTAAAAATACCCCAAATCGTAGGGTTACCTGAGATGCTAAAAGGTTGGAGAGGAAACTGAATTTGAAGGCTGAATTGTATCTGTAATCACTTGAGTTTTGACTTGTCTTGCCCACCCCTCCTCAGGTGTCTATTGCCTTAGCTTATGTACATTTAGAGGCTGCCTATGTCTAGGCAGCTGCATCCCGGAATGTTCTCTGTTGCCTGTGCGCATGGGGTCCCCCTCCTGACGCCTCTTCCCAGACCCCCGATTGCTGGCTGCCGCTTCTGTATTGGATTCAGGCTCAGACGTAGGGATGCGCCAACACAGCAGAAATGGTGCTTTGTTCCCTTACGGTGACATCCTCTGGGATCCCAGAAGTTACGGTAAAGAAACGGTGATCACTACTAGCCAGGTTCCTAATTTCTGGAAAGAAGAAAAAGGAGATCAGGAGCACCCTGAGTCTCCAGATTGCAGCTAAACACTGGCTGTGTTTTTCATTTAGGTGATTTTGTGGTTGATTTGATCATCAGAGAGAGTACTGGGCCATTTGAAAGCGTTTTCCAGTTCTAGAAGTAGATAGATTTGGGCGTGTTATTTTTTTTTTTTCTTGCTCAAAGCTATTACCTTGATAATACATTTTTACAGATGTGTGCTAGACCTTGCTATAATATGCAAAAATATTAGTTTCTTGCCTTTTCTTCCTTTTTGCATAATGTTTTCTCCGAGAGCCCTCCTCTCTCTCCTGTGCAGGACTCCCATTTCCCCAGCCTGTGCCTTATTCCTCGCTAAGCCTGAAACATCACATCTGGGAACTTGGTAGGAATAGAGACACTCTGACCCAGACCTAGCATTTCATTGAGCCCTCCAGCTAAGCGTTCTAACTCGTGAGTAATTTTCCTTGACTTCTATGAAACTTCCTTTTATACCCTGAAATGGATGCCATGGGTTACCCTACCCTCTTCTGGGACAGCATATGAGAGTCTGGACTAGAGCCCTAGTCTGTGTGTGTGTGCGTGCGTGTGTGTGTGTGTGTGTGTGTGTGTGTGTGTGTGTGTGTGTGTGTGTGTGTAGACAGAGTTTCTCTGTGTAGCTTTGGCTGCCCTGGAACTCGCTGTAGACCAGGAGTAACTTTTTACTTTTCTGTCCATCATGAGGTAATAATACTTTGAGTCTTCCTGGTCACGTTCATGCATGGATTTGGTCTTTCTGGTGACCTCTGTCACAGACTGTTTTCACGTGCGATCCAACCACCCCGAGCAGCAGTCTCTGTTACATACCAGGCCACGAGCTGCCAGATTTGAGTTCTTTTCATCTCACCCCTGGCATCTAAGGGTAAACTGAGGGCCGGTGAGATAGCTCAGAAGATAAAGGTGTTTGCCTAGCCTGATGATCTGAGCTCACGCTCGTCCCACCTGAACTCAGGTGGGAGAAGGCTAGGACAGCCTCTTACAAGTTGTGCTCTGACCACACACATGCTGTGGCACATGTTGTCGCCCCCTCCCCTAACCCCCAGCACACACATTTTTAAGAGTCATTTCACTGCCCTAGACTGGACACCAGTTCTATTCTGTTTTCCAGGTTATCTGTCAGCCTCAGGCTTCTCTCTTAGCCTGTGCCATGGTGCCAGTTTGTCCTGGGAATAACTGTATTTTTGCTTAGCAAGTACCCTAACCTGGTCCCACCTTCCCACTAGTGAGCTCTCCACACAATGGGTAAGACACAGATCGATCCGGGCTTTGGTCCCACTCCTACAAGTACAGGCTCGGGTATCCCTGATAGGTTCACAGGCTCTGAACAACCTTCCCTTTTTCTGCTTTGCAAAATCAAGAGTCATAGGATCTCACGTCTGCAGTCTCACCTCCAACACAGAGATCAGCACGGTAAATGTGTGATCACATTTGGCTGTCATTATCCAGGAGTAAGGTGACTTAGCCATTTACAGTACAGAACCCGTCTGCCCCAGGAAAGTGAGAGGCTGTCCCCCTTACCATCTTAGTCACGATTATGGGACTTACCTGCCAGGTCAATCCTCAGCGACCTGCATATTGTGTACATGAATATCGTGGGGCTAATTTCAGAAATCGCTCAAGCTGAGATGAACTCTTAACCCTCTGTGGAATCCTCCTCCTTCTTGGAACGTGACGGAAAATGCAGCTGTATACAGGAGAGTCCAGTGTAGTCCTGAACAGATGGTCCTGGAGCCACTTGAAGATAGTAGGTCGTGGGGTTTGTAAGTGTTTAAAGAGAAAGTGCTGCGGAATCCATTAGGAGTGGAGATAGCCGCATGAGGGAGGGATGGAGTGTTTGGTGCCATTAGGCATTTGAAAAACACATGACATCAGCAGATAGAAATGAGTGTGAAAGGCATCTGCATAGGAGGGATCACACTCATTTCTACCTGCGAGGCAGGCATGCCAAGTGTGTAACACACAGGTTCTTGTGCAGGAACCCTTCAGAAGTACCCGTGGAGCTAAGGATGGGCAAGTTGGTCAGGAGTGTCGTATGGAGGTTTCTTGGCTAGAACACCAAGAACAGAGCTATACTTCAGATCAGAGGCTGGAGCTGACAGGGGTGTACCCAGAGAGCCTAGGAAAGACAGGAGGCAGGTTGCCAACGTGGTCATCTGCTCCTAGTGAGACACAAATGGAGAAGGTGGTTCTCCTTTTGGGAATCAAACTAATGCTGATTAGAACAAAGTTATAACACTTGGGTGGAGATGCACAAGGTAGTGGGTGCCAGTGGAGATCAAGAATCTGCTTCTGGAGGGTGGCTTGGCAGGATTCAGCATCTTCTTTTGAAGTGCTTATACCTGTTGCTCAGTAGTTCCATGCCTAGGGATTTATTTTAGGGAAATAATTAAGGTTGTTTGCAAAGGTGTAGCTTCAAGGATATTTAACATGATGCTGTTTATAAGAGCAAGATATTTTGTAAGCAGCTGAGACATCCACAAGTAAGAGATTTATTAAATAAGTAATCATGTACACTGTATTACATGTGCCTTAAATGTTTATAGGAAACAGTAAATGACCACAGCGCTGTTTAAATATATGAGCCTATGTCTTAGGAACACATACCACATGTATACACATGCATCCACATATAAAAAATATTCCATCAGAGTGCTGAACTTAGGGTTGGTATTTATTAACTTTCCAAATTGATTGTGCTGATTTTAATTGGGATGAGTTTATTTTATTTGTTTTTAATGTGGCCTTGCATTCAGCAGTTGGCTGTGGGCTTTAAAAACAGAGGGATCCTGTGAGGAAACAGAGGATCTTCGGAGCTTGGTACCAGGCTGCTTGAGGAAGCTGGAAGTAAGATGGGCAGTGGGAGCCTGGGATCTTGCTGAGGAAGAAGTTAGGAAATTGAGGGGAAGCCCAAAACAGCAGCTCTGTTGAGTGGAGCATTGGATATTGGTCCTACTGAATATGGAATATAAGATTGATCCACATAAAAAGTCTTAACATGTTAGGGCTGGAGAGATGGCTCAGCAGTTAAGAGCACATACTGCTGTTCTGGAGGACCCAAGTTCCAATTCCTAGCATCCACAATGGGCAGCTCACAACTGCCCATAACTCTAGCTTCCAGGGCTGTCCCTCCTAGGCACCCACACTCTCATGCACATACCCTCACTCATGGACATACACTCCAGCATCCAGGGCTCTCCCTCCTAGGTACTCACTCTCACATACACATACCCTCACTCATGGACACACACACACATGCACATAATCTTTTTCCGAAGTCTAACATGTTGCTGTGATTGTTAGAGATCAGCCTTGTGTGAGTTGGGGAAACTGAGGCAATTGAAAGTAACTAAGATTAGACCATCTCTGTGTGTCACTTTGTGGTACTTGGTGATAGCCTTCTCCATCGGGCGTCTGTGAAAATCCATCAATTTCCCATGCAAGTCTTTCAGATGATGTTTTTTTCACTTTGATGGGAAGAAACTTTTTTGTTTTGTTTTCAACGATCCTTCCTTACATTCGGAGTTCACTGTCTTCAGGCTGCTCTCAGCGTTCCCTGTCTCTTGTGGGCATATCCAGCTGTTCCCTCGTAGACTGCAATGGTTTGGGTTTTCACCAACAGATCACTTTTCCACATTCACAAACATGAATTGCCTCTGTCTTCATTTGTGGCAGTTTGTATGAGCAAATGTCCAGAGATGAACAAATCATGCATGTGTGTGCGGAGACACAGCTATGTACACAATCCAGCCCTCTGCAAGGTGTAAGCTAGTGCTGCCCATATAGTGGATAACATCTGCAGAGATTTCAAGAACTTAGATAAAGCCACCTTTCTTACAGTTATTCTCTATAAGTTTTTGAAGGGCCATTGCTGAGTGTATTTGAAAGTATTGAAATGACCTAACATGTAAGATTCCCAGCATGTAACCAGTATTTGGTTGAGTTTGGTTCCTTCCAGTTTAAATGGTGAAGTTTGTTTTTATTTTGTAATTTACTGAATTAATTTACAGGTGATAGAAAGCATGTCTATGCCCTTCATTGACTCCAGATTTTTAATAAGGGTGATGTCATCTCTTTGGACACTCTTCACCAGTTGAGCAAGCCTACTGGAGAAAAGGCTAGGTTTCTGCTCATGGATTTTAACATACACCCCTAAAAGCCAGTTTTTACAGTTCAGTTTTTTCCTAACCAGCGTTCACCTTCGTTACATTGATTCTTTGATCTTATTGTCAGTGTGCTTCATTTCTCTGTGCTCCGACTTTAATAAGAGGAATGATTCTTCACATGAATCTTTCCCAAGGGGCAATTGTGAGTATTAATTGGTTTGTAAAATGCCTTTTGAACTGCTCAGATGAAAGGCCCCATGTAAATAGCAAAAGCTATTTGTGGTGCTGCTGTTGTTGATCTCAGTATGCCTGTTTGGGTTACCATCTTTTAATACGTGGAGACCTGCATCTGCAAATTTGAAGGTATTTCCTCTCAGGCCACAATGTAACCAGATGGTTAGTAACCACAAGCGATTTAGTTTCTCTATCAAAGATGAATTCATTGTAAATGATAGGACGCTGGTTGAAATGATACTTCTTTATGTATAACACTTCTGGAATGAGCTGTTAATACCTCTACAGAATTATCCAAGCAGTTCTCAAAGTTCTGAACACCCAGACCTCAGAAGTGATGCATGGAATACCACCTTCTTGTCACATCCTGAGGAAGCTACTGGTTAATCCCTAACATTCATACGACTCTTCTGTGCCCAGGGGCACTTTTGCCAAGACTTGACATTTCAGGTTGCCACAGTTTGGAGGCCGCTATGGAAATCTAGAAAGGACACCCCAGGGATGCTATTCAGCATACAGGTCAGCGCCTGCCATGAAGAATTGCCCTGTCTCACGGGTCAGCAGAGCTGAGGCTGAGGAACTTTTAGGCAACACACAATAGAAAGTTTCATAATTCACCTTCGATAATGAACAAGCTCTCCTAGGTCGGTTACATATGGTTATTTTTTAATCCCTCCTCTGGATTTCTTTATAGGTTGGAATTGTGGGGAGAACAGGAGCTGGAAAAAGTTCCCTCATCTCAGCCCTTTTCAGATTGTCAGAACCTGAAGGAAAAATTTGGATTGATAAGATCTTGACAACAGAAATTGGACTGCATGATTTAAGGAAGAAAATGTCAATCATACCTCAGGTATGCCTGGTAGAGCGTCCACACACGTTCCTTTTACAAGGGTACTGAAGTTTAATTGCTTTTAATTTTATTGCTAGCTTTTTAATTGGATGAAAGGATTGATCCTTTAACCAATAGCCAATAGTGCTATAATTCAGCAGATAATTTCACCAGCTATTTCCATAGATACTGTGTGTGTGTGTGTGTGTGTGTGTGTGTGTGTGTGTGTGTGTGTGTATGTGTGTGTGTGCGCGGGCAGGGGGGCTGGTCAGAGACAGACAGACAGACAGACTATGGGAAGATTCAGTGCTATTTACCTAGATTCATTCTGGATTCAGCTTCCCAGGTATTACACTTTTATTCATTGATAATCACATACTATTTAGTGGTCAAGAGATCCTAAGTGTAACAAGGGACTTTGCTGTAGTCAGTGGGTCTCTATGGAAGGTCTTGTGTGGGGCAGAGACAGGCTGTGAGAGTCACAGGGCATATAAAAGCTGAGTAGACATTCAGAATCTGGACGTTTGGGAAGTGACTTTAACCAGGGAGGGAGCAGTCCTGGGGGAGACTAGGAAAGGTTTGCATCTCTACAGACTACTGCCAGGGCTGTGGTCACCGCTGAGAACAGTGCTGAAGGCTAAATTCCTCAGTGCAGCCTGAGTGCCTCACACAGGCCCAATACCTGGCAGCCACAGTGGTGGAGGTTTGAGTTGCCATTTCCTCCCCAGGCTGACCATGTGTTCTTTTTGGCTATTTCACAGCAGAAGACTTTTAGGCAGTGTCTAGAGACTGGATTACGTACACACTAGAAGCTTGTAGTTAGTTTAGTTTCTTGTTGACTTGCTTTTAGTTCCACCCATCATAATTCAGAAAGTCTTTATTGAGTAATTACTGTCTTCTAGGTAGACAGCCACAGGCAGCGCAGGCCTGACCCCACAGGCCTGCAGCTGTGGAGCCTGATGGCTTCATCCTGCACTCAGCTTTGACGCCTGTGTGGATTCAGCTCGGGCTTGCTGTTTGGGGTTTCTATTTTGGCATGTTCTCACACTACATAATCATCTGGCAATCAAGGGGAGCTGAGGAACCCCACACACATGCACACTCATTCCTGACGAGAGAGAGACAGAGAAGAGACCCCAGAGAAAGGGCAAGCAGCCCTGCTTTCTGAGCGTGTGCCAATCATGGGCCTTTAAGTGTTTATTATAAAGTACAGAGAACCTAACACCCTGTGAGAAGGAGAATGTGGGCTCTGAGCCTGTGGCCTCCATCAGCTGTCACTTCCTACCCTGACCTGTAAAATAATAGAATTGCCACCCCCCTGTGAAGAGGTTGTGGAAAAATTAGAACTCTGTGTTTTGCTGGTGGGAATGTAAAATGATACAGCTACTGTAGAACACAGTCTGGAGACTCCTCACAAGACTGTAATAGGACTACCTCATTATCCAGCAAGTGTGTGTGTGTGTGTGTGTGTGTGTGTGTGTGTGTGTGTGTGTGTGTATCATGCACACATATGGATCAAAAGCAGGGTATGGCAGAGACATTCATTCATTTGTGTTCATAGCAGTGGTTTTCACAGTAACCAGGAGGTGGAAGCCATCCAAGTGTCCGTCAGCAGATGAATAGCTAAAGACAAAATGGTTTATACAAACAGTGGGAAGCTACTCAGCATCAAGAAGGGAGGAAATTCAGATGCGTGCTACAACATGGGTAAACTCTAAAAGCGTGATGGTGTTTCAAGCCAGCCAGTCACAGAAGAGCAGCCAGTGAATGGTTCTGCTCGTGTGAGGAGTGGTCAAGTTCATGGAGAACAGAGTAGAGTGGTGTCCATCAGGCACTGGAGAAGGCAGGGATGGGAAGTGGTTTTGTTTAATGGATATAGGGATTAAGCTTTTAAGAAAAATAAAAGCTCTGTGGTTGGTGATGACCACTATAAGAGAGCATAAAAAATTAGTTCCATTGACCTGTGAGCTTTGACACAAGAGGGGAGGGGTCAGCGAGGCAGCCCCGTGAGTAGAGACTGGCCGCGAAGCCTGATGGTCTGAATTCAATTCCCATTGTACCTACATGGAGGAAGGAGAACACGGACTCCCAAAAACTGTTTTCTCACCTCCACAAATACACCCTGGCACATATGCATGTGCACCCTCATCTAAGTAAATGCAATAATAATAATAATAATAATAATAATAATAATAATAATAATAAACAACTAAATAATTAAGGGATAGATTTCATGTTGTGAGTATATTCTGACAGGTTCTTTTAAAAGATCAAAAGACAACCCTTTTAAGAAAAAAAAAATGGAAGAACTCTTCCATCCCATAAGGCTGTCTGAGCACTAGAAGCGTGGATGCAGTGGAACGAAGAGTTCCAATCCCAGGTGCCGTCTGTGGAGACTTATTTACTCGATCACAGGCGTGCCTGTAAAGTACTCTCATATCCTGGGATGAAAGGATCTAGAAACGTGCCCCGTGCCACTTTTAATGCTTCTTAATAAGAAATGGTGGTGTGCTTGTGTACATAAAAGAATTCTAAATAAAGAAGCAGCGTTAGGTGATTCTTGGCTCTGCCAGGAATGTTTGGAAGCACATCTGAGCAAAGACTGAATACACCTTGACATCACCAGGCTTTGGTTCTGTTCCATGAGTTCCCACCCTCCCTTTGTGCAAGTGCTCTGTGGATCTGCTCCCGAGAATGCATTCATAAAACAGTGCTAACCAAGCTTTGTGCCCTTGCAGACCACGGTCACCAAGCATGGTAGGCGCAGAACCTCCCTGTGCCTGTCTCCCAGGTGCGAGTTAGTTATTTAAGAAACAACTTAGAGAGACCGTGCAGCGTCTAAAGGGCCCAGGATAGACTGTTTCAGGGCGTGGGCTTAATGTCAACACGTCCCATATTTTCATCCTTCTCCAACCGCCTGGAGTGAGTGGCCTAGATGAAGTCACCTCACCTAGCTTCTGAGGCTTAGCTCCTGTCTTAAACCAGGTCTGGTAGTTGTCACCTCACAGATTGCTCGTGGAGGAGGATCGACTGCACAAGACAATGGAGGTGGCCCGACGCATGGTTCTTAAGAATGCCCAGTCAATAGTAACTATTAATTAAGGATTATAGTATTGGCCTTTAGGTATGTAACACATTCTAGAAAGACTTGGCTCATTAATTTCAATTTATGCTGTTGTAATTCCTGGTGATTTTCTTTAAAGCAAATTATTTATGTAAATTAAATTAGTTGGACAGGGAAAAAAAAAAACATCAAACTCCCAAACCTCACAGATATACTCAGAGACATACAAAAATGCATGCACACAGGGCCGGGGAGTTTATGGTAAAACCTGACAATCTAGTGTTTTTCTCACCAGAACAAAGCTTTTCCCAATGACTGGTCTGTGTCCATTAATACTGGACAGCCAACGGGAAGCCCCTCTGTACTGGTTCTCTGCCCCGCCCACATTCTGTACATTTTTCTAGCCCTCAGGACTCTGCTCAAGAGAGGACATCATTCCTCACATCTGTGGAGTCCTTCATGTTTACCATCTTCATAACCTCTCAACCCTCCCAAAAATTCTGTTGTCACCCTCATTTGTCAGAGCTAGAAGTTAAGGCACAGAAGCTGTGCAGCCAGGGTTCAAAAAGAATTTAGGGACATTCTCCATCTCCGAATGCTCTGGATCTCACTGGTTTAAACTGTGTTCTGTGGCCAGCAGGATGATCTCCATACTGTATCCTGATGCCTTGTGGGTCACCTGCTCAGAAACAGACGTCTCATAATGCATTGTTACTCCACTCTGCGCCGTGATATTTTCTATTCTATTTATTCTAGTCTGGTTCATATAAAAGACAAAATGATGATCACGAGCCACAACATTGATTTCATGAGCCACTGGTCACGCCTGCCCTTTGAAAATGCTGTGCTCGCTGCCTAGTAACACCCTGGGAAAGTGTTTGTCACAGCAGACTTAAAAGACAGGAAGGGCAAGGAAGGAAACTGAGGCTAGAGGAATGTTAGTCTTCATCATTGTCTTACATGGTAGAAGCATCAGAATTCAGCACCGGCAGGCGGCTCTACAGTCTTTCTCTCGATGAATGTTTATAACCAAATGATGTCTTGTCAGGTATTTTAGTCATTGTCTTTCTATCCCCCCTACCTAAAAAGGGCTTCCAAAACTATAGCCAAAGAAAAGACATAGAGCCAGAAATAAACTCAAGCCAGCAGGCATCTTCTCCCGGGATCTCGGCACAGCCAGGCAACACTGAGAGACCTGTTTGGGAAGGTGGTTTTGCCAGAAAAATTGAAGCGACACTCAGCACCAAAAGAAAATCGTTGTCGTAGAAACCAGGATTCTCTGGGTGTCATGGGCTAACGGCGTGCCAAGGTACTCAACCAGTCCTTGCACGTACAGGGCCTCGGTGGGGACGTAGAGAGCCAGTCATCAGAGTGTCTTGTGACAAGCGTCCCACTTCCCTCAATGAGCAGGAGCCACAGTTGACTGTGTTTCAGGTGAAGCAAAAGAGGAAGTGAGTTGTGGGTCCAGATGGGCCAGGCCGGCCTCTTCTGGGGACAGCAGCCTCCTGCTCTCCCCTAAACTCCTCCCTTGGTTCATGGGTCCATCTCTCTTGAACTTCCCAGGGGCGTTTCAGAAATAGGGAGGGGTTAAGGACCAAGTGGGTTCCCAGGGGTAGTGACAGGTCTAGGCAGGACTCCTGCAGCCACTTTAAGGAACAAACACCTGGCCTTTGAGGAATCAGTGAACCAAGACAGAGCCAAGAAGGTAGCCTGAGAAGCTACCTGTGTAACTTCCTTGAGCAGAACAAATGGCTGATACCTGTACTTCCTTTGTACCACCGCCTCCCTGACCACTTTGCAGAAGAGAGCCAGAGCCCAGAGATGAGCCCGGCTTCTGGAAATAGCGTATCAGAAAGCATCTGCAAATGTGAATTGCAATTTTTTTCTGGATAGAATTTCTTTATACCTGAGGTCTATTTTTTTTTTTTTTTTTTTTTGCACTAAGGAAATGTTCTCAACCAGAGAGCAATTCGCAGCAAATTTTCCATTTACAGCAGCACCTAGGGGCTGATATGCACTAACAGCTATAATCTTTATCATGATCAAACAGGTTCTTTTTGTATGTTTAATAGATCCCTTTTGTTTGTACCAAAACAAAAAGCCAGGTGCTTTTTAAACAGCCCACTCTATTTTTTTTTTTATTCCCCTGAGCTTTTAATGAGTTTAAAAGGTTAACCAGAGCTGCTGTGTGTCTCTTTAAGGTCCCTTCCTGATTACGTGTGTGTGTGTGTGTGTGTGTGTGTGTGTGTGTGTGTGTGTGTGTGTGTGTAGAGAAAAGAGGGAAGGTATGCTGTTACTAGTAAATAAATACAGTTGGATCCCAGCCTATGCAGTTCGCTGAAGTCTTCATTAAAACCCATGGCACTGTTCCCTGGAGCTGGTGACCTTTTGTATTTAAAGATGACTTTACAGGACTTAAATTCTTCTTCCTTTGTGGGCGAACAATGTTCTTTTCTTCTGAAAATGCATGATGATCGGTTCATTCAGAGGCTACAGGATTAAAAGAAGAAGAAAAGAGAACCAACTGGAGATTGAGTGACTTCAGGTGACTCCTCCTTTGAGACTAGGAAAGATGCTTTCTGTATAAGAAGGGAGCTTGGAAGACACATCAGAACAGCAGTTTAGCTCCTTCTGGGTACATATTTTAGGAGAGGGATATCTCCTAGTTTGTGCCCCAAAAAGATTAGGGTGAGTGTTGAACTTCATGTTGTTCATTTTTAAGTTTTTGTCCTGGTCCCTAGTTGGCTTAAGTGTCTGAAGTCTAAAGGGTTGAGTTTCTCCTTCACATAATGGAGGCCTGGCTTGCAGTCAGTACAGTCAAAAGGCCTCGTTCGTCTCTGGTTTTCAGGACTGAAGACTATCAGCTTACTCCCCCAGATGCTTTCGTTTAGACTGGCCGCCGCTTCGGGGTGACTGAAGAATGTGTGCTGTGTTAGTAACAGCCGAACGTTTACTACTGAATGTGGCGCAAAGGATTCAAACTTTTAACGATGATGATAAACAAATTGATCCTAGTCTTCTGGTTCTATTGCTGTATTGAACACATGCGTTTCTTTTCCTAATTTTACCATGCTAGCTAACTGTGAAGGTTAAAACAAAACTCGTGTTAAAACCTGTACCACCAGAGAAAATACACTGAGGCTAATAAATTAGGCCGTCTTTTCGTCCCATTGATCCCCCATGAAATCTTCTGCCTGCAAACATTTTTACAGCACTTATTTATAAGACTAGTTTGGAACTTCATTGCATTGAGGTGGGTACTTTAAATAATAATATCTATCGGAAATGATAATTAACTTGACCCTTATCTTCTCTCTCAGTATGTGTCTGCTGTTAGCACTTTTATTGCCTTTTGAAGATAATATTAGGGCTTTTTATTTGGAAAGTGGATAAAGGAAGTGAACACCAAGCATGATACACACTGGCCCAGTAAAACAATCATTGTGAACAAATTGCCTGCTAGTTTTAAAGAAAATATAGCTTCCACCAGTTAATATTTTATTAAATCATTCTCCTTGTGCAACAAGTCTTGATGAAATTTTACTTATGAAATACATATCCAGCATGTCGTAACAAAGCAAATTGCTCTTTATTTACTTAATTATTTTCTTCTAATATTGCTGAATAAACATGAGTGATTGCCCAATATTCTCTTTAAATTGACAGTATAGATTTCATAGAGACCCTTATTTTAGTGAACAGTGGTCTAGGGATAGTTGGTCAAGCCTCCCAAGGATCTTCTGCTGAGGCTGGCATTTAGAACACAAGATAAAGCAGGTGTTTATGTTCTTCAGCTTGATGACTCACTGTCCTGTAAGGGGTCTCACATCCTCCTCAGATATATCCATAGGAAAGAGTTTCCTCGGGGAGAAGGTATGGAAAGACAGGTGGGAGAGTCTGATCATGAAATGTGCACTGGGCCAGAACTGTGCGTTTCCATGGCTATTCTCTAGAGCCATGAAACCACCCTTCTGCCTGTGCTAATTATGACCGTTTCATCATGAACAAGGTTGTCAGTGCCGTGCTTGAGTGCTCAGGATGGGACATCGTGAGTGAGTCTAGTAGTCTGCCCCAGTGTCTAGACCTGACATATTGGATGGGCTTTTGCTGTCCGAGAGGAATCTGAAGGGGAACATCAGCTATCTAGGACAAGGACAATGACCTGTCTTTAGTATAGACAAAGAGGACATCTCTCACATCTCACATGGGCTCGAAGCTGATTCCTGACCATGTTTACATCAGACCCCTGTGGCAACTCATTCTTAGTGCCACTCAGTTGGGGTCCCTGAGTGCCATATCAGCCATGGGGTTGAGCCTTTGTGGGGAGGTCAGAAGAGCATCAAAGAGAGGAAGGATAGCTGGTGTGGGTAATTAGGAAGGATGGTAGACAGCAGCATGTCTTCTGTGAACCTCATGTAAGCAGGGGAAGAAAGAAAGTCTCCTGTTCTCCTGGAATCTCTGAGTTAATCATGACTCATGTGGGGGTGGGGTGGGGGGTTCTGGGTTTGGGTCTGTGCGTGGGGGGGTATGGGGGTCTGCGTGTGTGTGTGTGTGTGTGTGCTTTAAATCTGAATTCAGTAGAATGGCATTTATTCCCGATAAGAAATTCCCACCATATGTAGATAGCTATTTAGTCTTTCTTAAACCCTGTAATTTTAAGTATAACCTTAGATAAGCTTTTTGTGTTCCTTCAGTTCAATTTAGTAGCCCTTTCCAAATTTCTTATGGCAGCTCAATCAACTTTGCACAAATAAAATCCAACGCTAGTGTCATTTAGTTTGGAGGTTTTGCTGACAAGAACATATTTGGGAGTGATACTCCACTGTCCTTCTACACTTCTGTATCCATATTTTTCTGTCACATGTATAAAATTAAGAGGCAAATGACAGTATCAGTCTTTGGAGAAAAGTCCTCCTCCTTAGTCTTAAGTGTTAAAGCCCCTGCCTCGGGACTAGGTGACATCCCACACATGTAGCCCAGGAGCAGTTTTCCAGGACCATGGATGAGCCGTGGCTTCTCAAGTTCCATATCTATGCCCCCTCTTGAGTCTTCCCTTTCACTGAAAACAGCCGGTTGGGCTCTTCTCCTCTGCTCATGTCTAGGTTGTTAGATTGTTAGAATCTTCTAGAAGAAAATCTGCACAGCCTTCCAAAGCCCACATATAAGATGCTCCCTTAACAATCTAGAAGGCAGCATGTGATTCAAGGGCAGCTTCCTTGTGAGCTCCTCCTGAAACAGAAGAATGGAAGACATGTTACCGTACTTGCTTCACAATGGGTTTCAGGTGACCTTGCCCTTGTAGTTAATAATGAGGTTCCATGAGACGGGCATCCCTGATGCACAGACAAGGTAATGTGCGGACTGGCTGATGCAACATCCGAGGCCATTTCCATGAATAGAGGTGCCACTGGCCCCATTAGTTGATATCCTCTTTGAACAAAGAATAGAACGTGTCCTAGCCAGGTAGTCAGAGAGATTCCAATCCCAGAAGACTCTTCATCAAAGGAGAAAATACTGAACAATTTTTACCTGAAGCACAAACTTCGCCTAATCATGCTATTTCTTGTTTTCCAGAATCCTTTCAGGATTGGCAAGTAACTTGTATAGTTGGGTTGATGTCATGTTACTCAAATAGATATATCTGTGTTTATCACCAGGGAAGTGATTTTAACAACAAAAACTCCCCTTTCCCTCATCTCCTTCTTAAGATGGCACACTGCCATGGTTTCTTTTGCTAGTGTTCAGTGCTCTAGGAAGATATTTTAGATTCATCACATTTTGTATGATGATAAATTATAATAGACATGACATCATGTAAACAAGTGTGTGAAACTTTAGAGTTAATGATTGTAGTGTATTTGTTGCATTTGTTTGCCTTTCTAGTCTATTCTGAAAGTCAGAGACAGTGATGCCATTCACTCTTGTGCTCTTAGGAACCTGTTCTGTTCACTGGAACAATGAGGAAAAACCTGGACCCCTTCAATGAGCACACTGATGAGGAGCTGTGGAACGCCTTAGAAGAGGTAACTTCTGGAATGCAACTTTCTTTCATCATTAGCATCTGTGTCTGTGCATATGTTCAGAGCATTTCAGGGGATCTGGGGGAGGGAGTGTATTGCTTGAATTACCTTTATTTGACACCTTGGGGAGCATTGATGATGTGGACGGGTGTAAAATGTATGTGATGTGGTGATGATGATGGTGATCCAAAGTAATATACCTCATGTACCTTTTTAATTTTCCAAAACCTGCCTCAGTCAATACATTATCTCACTTGTCCTTTGCAGAACTCAAATTCTCCTCGTGACTAAATGTCCTGAGCCACTGTTGTGAGAATTCTCCCCTGGGGCAGACACATAAACAGTGTCTACCCACTCACCACCTCATAAGGTCCCAAGACCAAAACAAAGTTCAGTTCCACCAAAGATCCCCCTGGGGAACCAATGGGTTTATTAGGTTTACTTACAGCACATGGGTGAGGGTATTATAGGCAGAAGTATGGGTGGCCCTGAAGCAGCCGCTCTGGAACATCTGACTCTAATGTAGATGATGGGTTCCCTCTGACTTTATAGAGTGAGCCCCTCCTTCCATTAACTGTCTCCAGTCTATATACTCTAACTCCTCCCCGAGACCCCCAAGGCCATGTGCAGTCAGGGCAGGATTGCATACAGGTGAGCAGAAGGAGTGACTGGAAATTTATGTCCCATGGTCCCATGGCCCTTCCCATTCCCTCCTTCTATGGGGGAATGTCAACAGCCCGCAGGCTGTCATGACTGACACTTGTAAGGAGGCACAACTGAGATGGTGGAGACAGGCTCTTCAGCTCAGAAGGCAGCACTCTGCAACAGCCATATGTTCCTGCTCTGTTTTGGGGAAGCGTCTAGGAAAAATGAGGCCTTTGTTTTCATTATTAGCCGAAAGAAAAATGAGATCATGCTTACACAATGCTTTGGAGTCTCCTAAGAAAGTGTGTCTAAGGGCAGATGGCACGGACTATGAGAGTGATGCTCATTCACAAACCTGTCATTGTGACACCACAGTGAGCTCAGCTGACAGACTCCTGGAGCCTTGGCTAAGTTTCTATATTGATACCTTTAATCTTGGAGGATTTTCTTATTATTTGTGTAGTGCATCCCTGCAGACCACATCTTGGGGATTCCTTTCCCCACACAGGCAAAGATTTTGACCATTAAGGTGCTTCTGGTTTATATGTTTAGAGATAATTATTTTGCAAGTTCACTCTAGTTCTGCAAATTAATTGTAAGCTGCTTAATAATAGAAATCATATCTTAGACCATAATCCCTCCTAGGACCTAGTTCAGTCTTTTCCTTTTAAAAAGTAAGCATTTAATAAATATGGAGTGACTGGCTGATCTCTTTGTTTTGGAGAGGCATGGTTTATTTCTTAAAAACAGAAACTAAAAAACACAAACCCTCAGGGATCAGTTCCCCACTGTCCTTATCACGGTTGCTGTTGTGAGGTAGCACATTTGTCCCTGTCGCCCTTTCTGGTAAGCTCTGAAATCTGAAAGATGGGTTCTGACTGTGAGCACACCAGTTTGGAGGCCTGACAGCTTCCTGCCAGTAACTCTCGCTTCTGAAGGCGTGTCGGTGCCGAGTCTTTGCACACCCACCCTCCTTTCCAGCAGCTTCGGGGATTTTGTTCTCCTGACTTGGGCTGGCTTCTTCACCAGCTCCGACTTGGACGGTGGCTGGCCTCTGGTTTCACTAGTCTGTGAGGTTTTTCTGTAGGAACGTTCTAAGAGAGGAGCTATAGGGAGTGGACAGTTACGTCAAAGATCTCAGAGCATGGGGAGACGGACACAGCAGCAGCAAGACTGTGACACACCCTGAGAAAACCAGAATTGCTAGTAAATCATTTTTCTCTTCGCTTCAGAGATCCCCAGATAGTAAAATCACTTTAGAAATACGTTGTTCTGTGAACAGTGAAGAAATGTTAAGGGGAACCAATTGGCTGCCTCATAGTTATTTTCATCTGTTATAGACAAAATGACATTTTAGTAGGTTCTCACAGTTGAAAACCGAGGTGGCAGAGTGTTGGACAGTCCTGAGGGTTACCTTGCTCACACTCCACCTGAAGGAAATGGATATGAGAGAAGACCCAGACAGACCTGTGTTCAGGCGTCGTGGGGTGTCTGCACACTGCTTCTGGGTTGACCTCATGCTTTAGAGAAGTATGGCATCACCCTGTCATGGTTTTTCTCTAGCAATGCGTTGCCTTGGTGAGATTTTTAAAAACAGTTGGATATTTTCTAAAAATTAGAATCAGTATTGTATTTGTAATGTCATTCCAACTGCTTCCTCATCTGTGTGTGTGTGTTTTCCTCTGTGTACATGGTTATGGGAGAATGTCAATGCACTTGTGTGTACATTGTTGTGGAGGACAGAGGTTGGTATAAGGATGACTTCCTCAGTCACTAACGGCCCTATTTTTTGAGATGGTCTCTCACTGAATCTGGGGCTTACCAATTAGGCTGACTCACTGACCAGCAGGGCCCAGAGATCCTTCTATCTCCTTCCCCGGAGCTATGATTTCAGGCCAACACCAGCATGTCCCTCCCTTTTGTATGTGGGGTTGGGGGCCCGATGACAGGTCCTCATTCTTGCAGCAGGCCCTTGACTGACTAAGCCATCTCCCTAGTTATACATGTATTCTGAATCACGTGACCTAGGAGATCTGGTCACCAGCCTGCTCTCATTGCTTGTGTGGGCTCATCAAATAGCAAGTGAGTCTTTGGGGTTTTTTGTTTTGTTTTGTTTTTTTATCCCCCCCCTTTCTCTCCTTTTTAGTTACTTCATTTATTTTCTGAAAATTTCAACTTCTTCTAATTCGTTCAGATTTTTGTCTTCTGGATGGTGAGAAGGCCAAGAGTTCTTAGAAGATGAAGTGCTGTGAGGTTTTTCTGGCAGTAATTAGAGTGGTGTGAAGTATGGTCCTTCCGATAGGTCAGGAAATCCTGGTCTGGGATCCTGGGAATCTCGGGCCTTTCTGACAGTGGACGCCACTCCCCACTCGGAATCAGAAGCTGGATGTGGTGTGTTTATCTGGGGAGGTGCGTTGGAAGCGATTTGGCCGTGCTCCAATGCCATACAGGTTCCCTGGATCTCTGTATTGCATTCTCTCTGTTGTCTCTATGGCTTTTTCTTTACATTGTGGCATCTAAACCAGAGCAATTCTGCCTCCATGAAGGTGGGAGACCTAATGGCCTTGGCTGTTCTTTTTAAAGTAAACCAAAACTTGACTGAGAGGCTATGGGCTTAATGATAACCCGTGTAAGAAAAGGGAGAGAGGGAAGGAGAGCCAACCCAAACTCCTGATGCTTTTATAAATGATGTTAATACTAAGCCCATGGGGTTCACTTGAGGGTCCTTCAAAGAGCACTGCCATTTCTGTCTTTTTAACAACTTCAAGTGGAAAGAAAAGGTGACGTGTTTTTATAAGTCCTCCTATTTCTTACTAATACCAGAGGGGGGAAAAAACAAGGTTTGGCTTTCAGAAGAGACACTGTGCTGTGAATATTGTTCATTTTGTTTTTGTAACTTTCTAGATATGCTGAAAGTTGCCTCCAAATAGTGAGCTAATAGCAGAAGAAATACTGCTACTATTAGTACCTACTGGAGCATCCAGGAAGCAGTGGCAGCTTTATAAAAAGACAGAAGTGGTAACTAAAGATGGAACCTGTCAATTGATCACAGCAGTTAAAATAGACAATGAATCAGCCATGTGTTACTTCTGCTGTAAATCAACATGGACACCTGGAGCGAACCATGAAGAGTAGGGTGTGTCTGCAGTATGAGACTCACTTAGTTAGGTTCTTCATGGATGGTATGTGTTAGGATGCAGTGCATCTCCTTGCACAGGAGACCATGGCAAAGGCATCTGAGCACCAGTGAGCACCCATCAGGAAGTACGTCACTCAACACTTTGTCCACACAGGGCCCATCTCCCCTTGTCCATGGATTTCCTAGAATGGGCGCCATTTACGTGTGGCTCCATTCGAGGATGGCATTTCTGGCTTTCCTTTTTGATGTAAAGTCAGTGAGTCTGTCCGTTACTTTTCTGTGGCTGGGATTATAATACCCTGTTGAGAAGCATCTTGGGGAGGAGAGGGCTCCTTCTGTTTATGGTCCCAGAGGGATAGAACCTATCAGCAGGGGAGGATGGACAGGCAGCAGGCAGAGCAGGAAGCTGGCCGATCACATTTTCATCCACACACAGGAGGGAAGCAGAGAGACAGATGGGGGAAACAGAGAGCAAGTGGGGTGAGGCTAGAAGCCCTCGAAGCCCACCCTTGGTGACCTCCTCCACCAAGACCACGCCTCCTAAAGCTTCCATAACCTCCCTAAACAGCATCACTTGACCAAGTGTTCAGGTACAGGAGCCTATGAGGGACATTTCTCATTCAAATTACCACAGTAAGTTTCAAAGAAAGTGGAAATAGAGTCTAACACTCCTGTCCATCTGAAAAGGACCCTGACATGTCTTCCACGTAATGCACATAGTAGGGGAATATTTGTGATGATAACATCAGGGAATTTACAAGTGTTATCAATATTGTTGTTTTCCACTCTTTTTCCATACTTAAAATATAATCTGAGCTATTCTGTACCGTACTGAAATAAACAGTTTAGAATACTACAATTAGATCAATTTTCCTGAAATTATAATTTTTAAATGCTTTTTGTATTTTAAGTATGACTATGATGATATCCTGGTGCCAATTACTTTTTGTAAGCTATATGTTTCTTTTACAATGCCATTTAATATGACTGTGTTCAATATAAAGTATATATTCATATGAATTTATTTTCTAACTTGTAGAAACAGATATGGATGAGACATTCTTGTGGCTTCCATCATGTGTTCGAACGGTTATTTATTGAGAGCTTATTATGTAGACATTGCAGATTCTTAAGCTATTACAGTAATCATCAGGATAGACAAACACTCCCACTTGAAGCTGAAATTCTTGTAGAGAAGTTAGGACATCAGCAAACGATTATGCATACAAAATTAAGACTAATAAATGCAATAAAAAAGCAGAACATGAAGAGAGCTGGATGACGGCATTATTAGTAATAGGTAATGTCGATTGATCTCTTTGTAGCAAGCACTGCTCTAAATGCTTACATGTACTGACTCATTTTATATCCCTGCACACGGTGTTTGGAGATAGACATCTTGATTATGATAACATTGTGTTTCATTTGCAGGTGAGAAAGCTAAGACAGGGGAAAGTTAGGAATTTGTCATGGGCAGAGCCAGATGGCACTTAAAATCAGGCTTCAAAGGTTTACATTTTTCATTTTCCAAATTTAAAATCTGGGCTAGCAAGATAGCTCGGTTGACAAAGGGCTTGCCTTACAAGCATGAGGTCCTGAGTTAGAGCCCCAGAGCCCACTCATCCAGCTGTTGCTGTCTTAGTGAAGTATGCTGACCCTTTGTTCTGTAAAGTTTCTCCAGAACAAATATTCATAGTACTGAACCACAACCCAGAGATGTAGTCTCTGACGTCTTATTGTTCAAGTTTTTTCGAAGGTAGATTGCTAGAAGTCTGTGTCATAGATGGGGCAATAGTTGTTATGTTGTCTTCTCCTTTCCATGGTTTGTCCTTCACTGCAGAACATCAATGTGGTGGAAGTAAATGCATTTGATAGCTTTAGTGATCTGAGGCTGAACTCGGGAAGGAACACACGCCAGGGTTCCTGACATTGAAGACGTAGTTCCCCATTGTTTGAGTTTCTTAAAACCTTTCTGGTTAATTAAAATCTTCCAAAATGGTAGGGTACCTACAGTATTATTTCTTCAGAGGGCTGTGTTTCCTACAGTTACTCCTATGCAGAATGTTTCTTAAGGAACTTGACCATAGTGATCCCATTTTGCATTTTCTATAGTATATCTTGTATGTGGAAAGAGCTTTATTTCTGAGAGACTTCTGTGATTTCTGGAGAAAGTTTCTTGGTAGATGTCATGTTCCAGTAAGGAAGTTAGAGTGATAGGGTGGGTGACTCTGAAATACACCAATTTCGTTGAGGTGTGATTTTTAGAACAAGAAGTGGTTCCCTGTAGAAGTGTGGTTCAGTGACTTTGATAAATTTGTGGAGTTGTGGGTCATCACAGTGATCAGGGTTTTAGAATGTTCTGTTGACCCATTATAGTTAACCCTCCACAGCTGTGCAATCACTACTGTGTCCTGATTTTTGTCTCTGTAAACTCCTGCAGCTTTCTCTTAACTAACCAGAAGGGACATTCTCAGGCTTGTAGAGATGGCTCATCAGTTAAAAGCACTGGTTGCTGTTGCAGAGAACCCACATTCTTTTCCACAACAGGATGCTCAAGATCACGTGTAACTATAGCTCCAGGAATCTGAGGCCCTCTTTAGGGCCTCGTTCACGTGCACACAACTATACACAGGCACATAGACACACACACAGATACACAAGACACCTTGACACACACACACACACTTGCACAGACACACACAAACAGCTTAAAAATAAAATCCAGTTTTTGTAAAGGTGTGTTCTCTGTCTTGCTATGTTTTACCTAGGGAGTAGTTTTATATGCACAGCCAGTGCTAACTCATGACCCAGAACCAACAGACAGTGCTCATCAGTGGTGATTGTCATCATCATGAGGTTCTGGGAAGAAATACTTCAAAGCTCTAGAGTTGAAGCGATTTGTTTAATAGTTTATTTATGAAAGTACCATTCTTCTGTCTACATCTGTAGGTACAACTTAAAGAGGCCATTGAAGACCTCCCTGGTAAAATGGATACTGAATTAGCAGAATCTGGATCCAATTTTAGCGTTGGACAGAGACAGTTGGTGTGCCTTGCGAGGGCGATTCTAAAGAAAAATCGGATATTGATCATTGATGAAGCAACAGCAAATGTGGATCCAAGGTACCGAGCTAAAGTGGATGTGTGTCTAACCTGACTTCTCAGTATGGCCCCGGGAAGGACTGAATGACACTGGGGAATGTCTCTGGGTGTGTCGGCCCTTCAGATGTGTGGTGCACTGAGGTTTCATGCACGAGTTACTTACACACTTACAAAGCCTTCTCCTGCCTGTTCGTATCTCATTATGTCATATGTGTATATCTCAAATATGTCACAGTACAGAATCCAAACCCTTTTGATTCCAAGCATTTCAGAAAGGGATGCTCAGATTGTATTCTAGGTCTCCTGAGTAAATTAGATGCCTGAATTCCAGTCTGTTTCAAACAATTTGGAGAGAAAATCATTTGCATTGTTTCTAAGTTGACTTTAGATTTTAGTGTTTTAAGAGGGGATGGTGTATAGGTGTGGCTGTGCATGCCTGTAATCTTAGCATGTGGAAGCTTCTTGGAGGCTCTGGGTTTCAAAGTCACCTGAATGACATAGTGAGTTCAAAGCCAGCCTGAGCTGTCCAATAATAGTAATAATAATAATAATAATAATAATAATAATAATAAAAGTTTTTAAAACATTGTTAAGGGCCATGTGATTGTTCAAGTCTTTCCCCATCTTTGCTGAATTAAATGTGACCTCTGTGATTCCAGAACTGATGAGTTAATACAACAGAAAATCCGGGAGAAGTTTGCGCAGTGTACGGTGCTTACCATTGCTCACAGACTGAACACCATCATTGACAGCGACAAGATAATGGTGAGCCCCCCCCACCCCCGCCCAGTGGCAGCCATAGATGCTCTGTCCATTTATCCTTCCTTGAACAAGCTGATGGGTACCCCAATAAGTTAATTTTTCTCTGATTTCTAGTAGCACCTCAAGTATGTAAGTCAACATTCAGTGCCACTGGACAGTCCACCGTGTGAACTCCTTTATATACTTCTTTGCTGAGGCATGCCTGCAGGACCATTTCAAGATGACTTATGCCCCAATGAAAACGTCCCAAACCTCAGCAATGAGTTATGACATTGTTTCCTACTCCACAGTAGTAGGACAGTGTCATTTTGAGCATGTCACCTTGTTTTGGCTTCTCTTGATCAAACATGAATCTTTCTGGGGCTGGAGAAATGGCTCAGTACTTCTGAGCACTGTGCTGGTTAGTTTTTGTCGAATAGTACTCATGTAGAGTACTCTAATCTCAGTTCCTAGCGCCCATGTGTAAGAAATAGGAAGGCTGAGAGTGTGGGACAATCCCTTGTGTGATTATTTGGGGGCCCGTGCTAGCTAGCTTCCTATTGCTCTAATAAACACCATGACCAGAAGCAATGTAGGAATAAAAGGGCTTGTTTCATCTTACACACTTTGCAGTCCATCATCGGGGGAAACCAGGGCAGAAACCTGAGGCGGAAACTTGCAGGGGCGTCCTCTTTCCCTCTTTCCCTCTTGGCCACCAGGTCAAGAGGGCAAGAGGCGGCAACAGAAAGCTTTGTATGCGGCCCATGAACAGGAACAGAGGGAGGCCTCCGGGAGACAGACTTCGGTGAATCAGTTCAACTTTGTTCCAGAGTATAAGGAATATATAGGATTGGGGAGCCTGGAGACAAACCCTAATTTGCATTAAGTGGCACAGACCTGTCATAAAGCTTAGTATGTGGTGGTAGAGTCCTATAGCAGAGCTCTTAACACAAGTCTTCTCAGCAGGGATCTGTGCCAAGGGTCGAGCTAAAGATGAATCAGGCATCTGGTTTAGAGACAGCTTTTAGGTAAAAGTCAGTCCTCCAGGCCCAAGGACTTTCTACAGGTAAGGGCAGGTAGAGAGCAGGAAGCCTTGCAGGGGAGGGAGGGCATTTCCATATTGCCAGGCTTAGAGAATGCTGTCAGGCTATGGCAGACTGTGATCTCTAACCAGCCAGCAATGTATTCCAACAGAAACTGAAGCAGAGGCCATGGAGGAATGGTACTTACTGACTTGTACTCCCTGGCTTCCTCAGCCTGCTTTCTTACACAACCCAGGACCACCTGCTTGACCAGCAGAAATGTCATCCGGTCCATCTTGTCCATCACGATTTGACCCACAGGTGTGAACATCTAGTTCATGAGTATGCCCCTCGCCAGTCACCTCTGTTGTCATTGTCAACAGTGTTGAGTGTTTTGCTTGCTCGTGTCCCGGTAAACCTTCAGAGCCTGTTTTTTCTCTCACTATCTATGTCTAAACCTTAGCGTGGTTTGACCCAGCAGCAGGTTATAGTCTGGCCCTCCCCTCCTCTCCTAACCTCACCCCGCTGCGCTATCCCTCTCTCTGCTGCGGATGAAGCCGCAGTGGTGTTCTCTTTGTCCTTCAGTGTGTGTCTGCTGTCCTTCTGACAGTTGTGTGGTTTCCTCCTCCTGAATGTTGGCAGCTTAGACTGAGAGAGAGAAGGGAATGGGCTTGGGAGAAATTGCAAGTGGTATGACTAGACTATGACAGACTAAGTATGGCTTGAGAAGAGAGAGGAGTCTGTGCTGGTTTTCAGGGTGAGCCCTGAGGTGCATGGATGAGACCCAGGGAGAAGCAGACTTGGGAGAGGGGTCTCTTTTAGCATGTGACCTTGCACTTCCCTGTGGTACTGCCCCCCTACTCAGAACTCCAGTGTGGGGAAATCTTCAGTGTAGAGTTCACTGGCTATGCGCTCAAAAGCAGCATCAGTGGAGATCCACCAGGAGACGGAAGTGTGGTCACCTGAGCAGCTTTCTGTTGTAAGAGTGACACGGAATCCCAACTCACGGGACCTAAAAGACATACAGCCTCTACTCAGAAAGATGGGGTCTTGGATTCCGATGTATTCACCCAGGTTGAAACTTCTGTTGTGTTCTAGAACTTCTGACCATGCCCAGACTTTCAGTTCAGTAGAACACCAATGGATCTGCCAGCTTTCTCTTACTGTAACAAAATCCTGAAAATAATCAGCTTTTTAAGAGGAATGATTTGTTTTGGCTCCAGACTTGGAAGTTTTGGTCTGATTATCTGGTTCTGTGGTAAAGTAGTGCATCATAGGGGAAACATGTAGCAAAACAGAGCTCTCTACCCATGGCCAGGGTACAGAAGAACAAGGGATGAGCCAAGAACCCACAGTTCCCTTCAAGGTCACACCCACAGTGTCCTTAAAAAAAAAAATTCCCAGTAGGGCCCACCTCGTAAAGTTTCGACTGACTCCCAATTGGCACCACCCTGGTCAAAGTTTGAAGCAGTTTTTGCTCTAGAAATACCTGCTCCTTTTTTAGAAGACACACTTTCTGTTCTGTTATTCTAAAGCATTAAAGATGTACATGTGTGTCTTAATTACTGTTCTGTTGCTATGAATATATACTGTGACCAAGACAGTTTTAGAGGGTTAGTCCATGCTCATCGTGGTGGGAAGCAGACAGGCATGGTGCTAGAGGAGTAGCGGAGAGCTTTACATCCTGATCTGCAGGCAGGAGGAGCAGGGGAGAGCCTGGGCCTGGCTTAAGCCTTCGAAACCTCAAAGCCCACCCCCTACTTCCCAACCCCAGTAACACACCTCTTCCAACAAGGCCACACCTCCTATGCCTTCCCAAATAATTCCACTAACAAGGGACCCAGCATTCTAACATATGAGTCTATGGGGGCCATTCTCATTCAAACTATCACAACACGTCAATCAACTGCAAAGCCTGATGCATCAGAGGGCAGGGGCCAGACTAAGGGAGTGACCAGGGAAGTAATGTTCACGAAGGCCATAAGCAACAACATGTCACCATAAAGTTGTGTGATTACAAGTGCTTAACGTGTAGTAATTACATTTCATTGCTTCGGTGAATACTCCACAGAGGCGGATGGGTATGGTTGTGTTTACTGTAAGTAAATCAAACAAAAGGCTTGTTAGGAAACAACTGTGACCTAATTAATGACTTTGTTTATGTGTTGGCTCTCCAAAGGGATTTTTAACCAGTTTTGGTTCATTAAGCACCGTTAATGTGTTAGGCTTAGAATTCTATTTTATGAAGATGTTCTTTCAATTTTAACTTTATTAAACACGCTGTCGTCTTTGTGACAGCTAATTTAATCACACTCGTTTGCTCAGTTGCCCTGAAACAATGGAGCAAGCAGACACATTAGAAAGCCTCTTTCTCCTGATACTCAGCACTGTCTCCACATTCAGTGTGGTTTCTTCCCTCTCGTTTTTTTTAGGATTAACTGGGTATCTGACATCTGCTTTCCCTTCCGCCAACAGCGGCGTTCCTTTTCAGTCCCTGCATACCTCTGTCCTCACAGCTCTGCAGCTTCTCCTGGTAGCAAGAGTGAGAGGTGCTTGGAAGGGCCCGCAGCTCTTCCCACCGCCTGTGTTGGACACCGTCTGTGACACCGTCTGTGACACCGTCAGGGAATTCTTGGGGAATTAAATTACAGAGAGCCGCAGGCTCAGGGACTCGGGTTGTGGCCCCTTGTTGACAGGCCACACTGCGGTCTTATAATCTTTACCTTTCTTCTTAGTTGTTTTCCCAGATAAAATAAAGCTAGTAACACACCCAGCTGGAAAAGCAGACAACTCAAGACTGACTGGACTTTTACTCAGTTCTGTTTTTTTTTAACCTTTGTGGAACTTTTCTTTGATAAGCCTACTTGGTCAAAACTAGGGCATTGAAAAAGGAAAGAAAGAAAACAAAAAGACAAAAAAAAAACGTTCCTTCAAAAATATGCTTACAGTTTGAAGTCAGATGTTCAGGGTACAAATAGCTAACATGGAAGCTCACATCCCAGAAGAAGAAATATAAGAACAACGAACGGGAGGCGAGGTCTGAAGACCAAGGTTTACTTACTGCTTTTGCACGATAGAAAAGTCATCCTTTTATAAAGCAGTTTGTTTTACTGCCTTAGTCTTGTGCATGGGAGAGGCCTGTATTTTACAATTGCAATATCTTTTTCCTTTGTTTAATGTTGGGAGGAGTGGTGATGCCCTGTGGATAAAATGGATTAAATTATTTTGAAATGGGTCCATGTAGTTTTTACATCTGGGACGACTACCCGGACTCCGCAGAGATGTAGGTCTGATAACTCGTCTCCGGTGAGCTTAGGTAACTGGTTGACTCATCCAATAGAATGTGTCTTTCCTTAGCCTGATGTTCAGCAGTGAGCAATTTGAGGTCATTCCTGGAGAGATCTAGGGTTGAGGCACGACCGTCGCATAAGCATTAATGTGTGATTTGGTTTTCGGTTTACTTGGGTCCAGGAAGGGAGGGGGCCTAAGCAGAACATGTCAGGAGACGATTCTTAGAAAACATAGTAAGAGAAAAATGGAAATTTCACTTTTTTTTTCTATTTGAAGAGAAGATTTGGAGTGGCCTTATGTTTGTTTACTCTGAAAAATCTAGACCATTTGGTCACATTGTGAATATAATGGCTGGGTATATAAAGTATAAAAAGTTCTGTTCCTGGCGTCTCCGCCCCATGTGCGTCACAGCTTGACGCTACAGCACCTGCCTGCCGCGTGTTCCTTCTCCCTCCCGGTATTTCAGAGTCCGGGCCTGAGCCTTCGTTTCTTCCTTTCAAACGCTGTCTTGCCCACAGCTGTCCAGCTGCAGCACGTGGACCCCTGAGTCCTTCTCTCCCAGCCTCTGAGCCCTCCGTCTTCCCACGCTCCCCACCACGGGAGGGGCCCAGGTGTGCCCTGAGATTCGTCTCCTTGGGCTTCACTTTTCAGCCCCTGTGCATAGAGAACTGGGTACTCGTGGGTCGTGCCAGCCGTTGGCGACACAGTCGTGAACGAGAGAACTCCGGCAAGCCTGCCTTGGCGTGGGTGGCAGCGCATCTCGGGCAGGGTTCGTGGTGTGTGTCCAGATCTGTTGACCATTCCAGTCCACTCCTCCGCCCTCTTCTCCATGAGACTCTTCCTCAGAGCCTCGGGCTGCCAGCTCCGATTCTCTTGTTTTGATGGGTTTTTGTTTTTTGTTTTGTTTTTACCTTTTGTGATTGTTGCTTGGATATTTTTTTTTTTTTTTTTGCCTGTTTTTGAGACAAGGCTCTGTAAATATGGGGAGGAGACCTGTCTTTTCCTTTTCCACAGTAACTAGCTTAATGACATGGATGCGGTAAGTGTGTGATAAAAACGTGCTGAGTAAATACACAGATTTAAGGTCACCTGAATTGTCTTCCAGTATGTTTTGGCTGTACGTTACTCATTTCTTATTAATCCTGAACATTAATTTGGAATAAAACATGGTTGTCTTCAGTGAGGACTATATGCCAGGCACAGAGGATATGATCTGAAGCCCTCAATATGATAAAATTGCCGTGGGGAGTGGACAGGCGACATGTTTCTGCTGATAGGTGTACTTTGGGAGTCAGGTAAAGTTATATTATCCAAATGAAAAGTATCTTAGGAAATGTAGTTGTTTTACTTTCTCTTTGCTGTTTTTTCTTTACATCTGATAATAAATATTTTATGCTGGAAACTCAAGAGGGTGTGAGTCCCAGTGCCGCTTGACTCCAGCCAGGACCGAGTCATTTAACTTCTCCATACTTCAGTGTTCTTCTCAGGGTGAGAACACCATGAGGAGCCATCTGGTTCATCTCCAAGTCTCCATTCCTCAGATGGTGCTGTTGTGGGATGGATGGGTAAAGGGGAGATGCTAATGTATCTGTCTCATTTGTTTGAGGAGTTATGGTGATGGTGTTGGAAGCAGTGAGTAGTCAAGCCATGCCCGTTCTTACTTTACTTTTCAAGTATAAAGATGGAGACTAGGAACATAACTCGATTGTTGGCGTTCTTGCCTAGCATCCGCCAAGCTCTGGGTTTGAACCCTGGACCATGCAAACCAGCTGTGGTGGCTCACAGCTGTAATCCAGCCCAGGAGGGAGAAAGGCAGAAGGACATAGCAACTAGAAGTCCAGGAGCTGATGCCACCTTGGGCTACAGGAGACCCGTTTTCTATTTGTTTTTTATTCATTTGTTTACTAATTTTGTGTGTATGGGTGTTTTGCCTGCATGAATGTCTATGTACCACATGCTTTCCTGGTGCCTTCGGAGGCCAGAAGAGTCAATGGGTCCACTACAGCTGGAGTTATAGACAGTTGTGAGCTGCCATGTGGATGCTGGGAATTAAACTAGAGTCCAAAGCAGCTTGTGCTCTTAACTACCAAACCATCTCTCCAGGCCCAACTCTGTCTTTTAAAAACACAACAAAAATGTCCTGTGCAGAGATCGTTGTTTTGACGTTGGTCTTATTGACCACATTTTTGCTTCATGACGTATATCAGGGAATGCTATCTCTGACTCTTAGATCATTCTCCTGTTTGGAGTTATAATATCACGGTTCCTTTTTAAATACTGTGTGTGTGTGTGTGTGTGTGTGTGTGTGTGTGTGTGTGTGTGTGTGTGTGTGTATGTTACTAGAAACTGAACCCAGGCTGACCTACACTCTAGCCCTATGATAATGTATATCAAAACCTTATTTAAGAACTTTGTTGTAGTTTACATTTTCAAAGTGTTATCTTGCAAATGTTCATAATTTCTAGAGCTAGGGATGTGTCTCTCCATGGTAGAGAGTGTGCTTTGCATGAAAGAGGCCCTGAGCTCAATCTCTACCAGCAAAGTAAGTAATTCCCACAATTCGGTCCTAAACCTCCAATTACAAACTGTCTGACTGGGACTGAAGACATGGCTCAGTGGTTAGGAGATACACAGCCTTTGCAGAGGACCCAGGTTTGGTTTCCAGCACCAACATGGGATCTCTCACAACCACTGGTAACTCCAGTTCTCAAGAGATCCTACATCTCTGACCTCCATGGGTACATCCATGCCAGTACACACACATGGACGGACACATACACACACACACACACACACACACACACACACACAGGAACACATACATACACATAATTAAAAATAAGTATTTTAAATCATTAAACTTCTCCACACACTAAGGTAAACGTTATTAAGTTGTTAATACTAAAAAGACACCAAATATTTTTTATCAACGGTCTTTCTGTCACTTCTGTTAGAAACCCTCCTGCTTTCTCAGAGTGTTTTCTAGCTGGACCTTCATAAATTATGGTCAGTTTTGAGATCTGCTGGTCTGAGTGGCCTTCATGTGTTTCAGACACTGTGTGGTATGTGGAAAGACTCCCTGTCTTACATTTGAATGCGTTCAGTAGGAAGCTGGACAGGGACAAAAGAGCAGTCATTATAAATTACAGGCAGTTTTTACAGTCGGAGAACTCAGTGTCTACCTCTGGAGTGTGATTGTAAGTTTGCTTTTTCCTTTTGCAGAACAGAGAGTTCATCATTTTGTAAAGTAATTTGACTCATTTACTTAGTCTTTAGCAGAGGAGAGACCTGTATTTCACAAGTGTGATTTCCCCCCCCCCCATCGTTAACGTCAGGAGGAGTGGCCGTGCACTGTAATGTGATGCTTAAGCAAAATTACACATTCAGGGCATCTAAATTGGCACGCCAAATTATAGGACATTTTAATTATTATGTGGATGTGACAGATTCAATTATTCTTGAACTCTTTTGAGAAAGCTGCCCTTAGCATCAATTCACAGTAGTAAACAAAAGATTAATGGGAAAATGCCCTTTAGGAGAGTCAGTAAATGTTTCCGATTAAATACCATGGGCCAAATTAACTGCAATATCTAGATGTGGAAAAACAACCCATGCCCTGCTTAGAGTTCCAGCGTATGCTCTTAAGATGGATTTATTCTAAACACAACCTAAATGGAGAACTAAGTACCACTTAGCATCAGAACTGTTTCCCTAGGTGCGTCATTGGGCCAGTTGTCTCCAACTCTCTCTTCTGTCTGAAACCATTAACCGAAGCCACTAATAAGTAGAAATGCAAGGTGAAGAGCGCCTCCCTCCACCTTTCCCTTTCCAGTGTAGATTAATGAGCAGTCAGAAGGCTGCAAGGCAGCCAGCTAAGGGAGGAAGCCAGGAGAGGGAACTTCAACAGCAGATACTCCGGCCCTGTGCGGTTCAGACTGGGCTGCCGCCATGGGCTGTGTGGACTTGAGGACACCAGAATTCTGAGCTCAGTCCCTTGGTTGCTTCTTTGGTCGTATCCAGAGAGAAATGGGATTTCTAGAGATTTCTTCTGTGCACAGCGATGGTGCTGAGGCTGCCTGTGTATTGACGCTCCTGGCTCACCATTCACAATGGTGATAACGGACCACAGCCGGCGGGTGGTAGGTAACTTTAGGCAACTTAACCTTGCCTGGGATCGCGTTTAGTGCACAAGCCCACCTTGCCCACACCCTGAATAAACTCTAGAAGCACATGCTTCTCCAGTGACAGGCTCAGATTCTCAAACCAGTGTGGCGATTTGCTCCCAGGCCACTGTTGGCTTTTTTCACATTACCCACATTCTAAACTGAGGTCCACTTTCTTCAGTCCCTAGATTTCCCAGCTCTGCTGATATGTAGATGTTCCCCCAAACTCAGAGTCTGAGGTTTTTAAAGCACTAACTAAAACAGCCCCCCTCCAGTAGCCTTGGCAGAACATAAAGAGCAGCAGATGGCTGAGAACCTATAATAATAGTCTAGAACTTTGGCTTTTCTAACTTTCCTATAACATTATAATAATCAAAGGTCAGGTTAGGCCTTTGTTTGCTTCATAGCTCAGGGTAATCAAACCTTTCAAGTACCTTCCAGGCCTACCACCCAAATAGATAGTCTGTGTTCTCCCTGGCCCTACCCCTTTCCGAAGTATTGTCTGTGTTATAATATGCTACTGCAAGACATTGTGTCTCAGTGGGTTTCTTTCTGCTGATCCCCAGGTTTTGGATTCAGGAAGACTGAAAGAATATGATGAGCCATATGTTTTGCTACAGAATCCAGAGAGCCTCTTTTACAAGATGGTTCAGCAGCTGGGCAAGGGCGAAGCCGCTGCCCTTACCGAAACAGCAAAACAGGTGAGTTCGCCCAGGAGCCTTAATTACGGTTTGTCTCACCAGCTCCCTCCTCACCGTTTGGCACCAGGGGTCTGGTAAAAAGCACTGTGTGCCCTTTTCAATTACAAGCCTTGGGAGAGAAAGCTTCAACACGTCCAGGGTTGAAGTCAGGTCTACCAGGACTTGGCAGGAGCAGGGAAGGGGGAGGGTGTGTGCACACACGCATGTGCAAGCAGGCGTGCCCAAGAGGGAGTAAACCTGCTTGCAGACTCATTACATTTCTTTCTCGTTGATGTTTAGCACATTGGCAATGCGGGTGTTGTTGAGGTACATTCAGGAAGATGAGGATAACATGAAATGGAATATTGTTTGTTCTAGAAAGATCTACCAGAGAAACACCAAGGTTGCTTCTGTTCTTGGTTTTATGATTTGTAACGAATACTATTATTGCTTACTGCTCCCATCTCCATTTATAATTTATATATATGAAAAATATATATTTATATAAATAAATTACAGCCTAGTGTGTAGAAGTGGAAAAGGCTTTTAAGATATTGAGCTTGCATGGGAGCGTTCCAGCACATACATGCGATGCTACCTCAGGTGACTTCGCTTTGGCTTAAGGGACTGAATGTCATACAGCCTGTTGTCAATCTTCATCTCTAGGCGCCACAATGCAGGTGCATTTTTCTACCTTCATTCTTTTCTGTATTTCTCAGGTTTTCAACACCATAGCAGAATAAAATTGCTTGGGTTTGTGTAACATTTTCAGTGTCTATTGAAGACAATAGAACATGAAATCATGTTCCAGTATCCCGCCAGTCCTGTGTGAGCCGTTCCGTCTAAAGCCATCTTATCCCTATTTAGAGATGAGGAGAGTTGGGGATGTAGTTGGGGGCTAGAGCACCTGTCTGGAATGCACAAGGTCCGGTTTTGTCCCCAGCACCTCAGAACAGGGAACAGGGAGGGTCTGTGTCTTCTAATATTTTACTGAATGGTAATTCCATTTTTTAAAAAAACTTATAAGTAGGACTTGAAGAGGTAGCTCAGTAGTTAAGAACATTGGCTGCAAAATCATGAGGACTAGAGTTTGGGTCCCCAAGCTCATATAACAAGCCAGGCATCCCACTTACACATTGCATGTACATCCCCATGGGTCTACAGACTCACAGAGACACACATTGACACATAAATAAGTAAAATAAGTTTTTTAAACTGCTAAATGTGTTTATGTATATATAAAAGTATTATATTGGATACGACATGCTAAGAATGTGTTAGCATGCCTTTAGTCATTGGTGATGTTAGCAGAACAGAGAACCAGCAACCACTTTTCCTAGTGAGCCATGAGGGTGATGACAATGGTGATGAGGCTTTAACACTCATTAGATGTGGTGGTCTAGGCTATGATTCAGGGTCTCTGAACATTATGTCTGCTTAAGAGGTTACAGCTTAGAGAACAGAAGGAGGTACCCAGAATCGCAGAGCTGGTAAGTGAGTAGAGGCCATGCGTTTTAAACCCGGGCTTGGGCCCAGAGTGTGGGTGCTCAGCACTTTTCACAAGGACTGACACTGTGTGACTGAGGTGGGAGGCTACCTTGGGAGTACTGTCCTTTGTGGGGGTGGGAGACTCGGTTATTAGAACACTTCATTTCTAGAGTATTCCCGGGCCCATGTTCCCTTTCATGAGACCCAGTCAATCATTTGAGAATCACTGAACAATAGGAACTTCAAACCTTTAAGCATTCCATATCAGAGACACATTCCCCACCTACGTGTCAGACCCCCTCCCCACCTTTGTTGTGTTGGGAATTGAACCCAGAGCCTGGGACCTGTTAGACAAGTGCCTCTCCATGAGCCACTCCCTCAGCCCCTCAAAGCCCCCACAGCTGTTGTGGGCTGTGGGTGTAGCCCAGTGGCAAAGTCCTTGCCCAGCATGCCTGCGGCCTTGAGTTTAATCTCTAGCATGAAGGAGGTAGGGGGTTAGATGGGAAGAAAGAGACATCAAGTAATGAATGATCATCAAATTTAGTTAGATCTTCATTGTATAAAATAGCACAATTCAACAGTCTCCTTCCTTCCTTTTCTTTCTTGTGGAGTGTATGTGCATACACAAATGCACACACCCCTGTGTGTGTGTGTGTGTGTGTGTGTGTGTGTGTGTGTGTGTGTGTGTATCAAAGCCTGGGTCTCTTTCTACCTCACTTTTTGAGATGGGATTTCTCACTGCTCCTGGAACTTGCTAATTTAGTTAGCCTCGCCCCCAGCACCTCCTGTCTCTGGCCCTCAGCATTGGGGTCACAGGTGCACACGGGACTCTACATGGGTTCTGGGGGTCCAAACCCATGTGTCATACTTGCACAGCAGGTGCTTTACCTTTCGAGCCGCCCCCTCAGCCCTTCAACATGTTTATTTTAAAGATGAGGAAAGTGAGGCCCCATGAAGTAAGGCAGCCCACTGTCATCCTGGTTTGTAGCAGAAAATCTAACTCTTCCCTTTCAATCCATATTTTAATTCAGGGGAAGCATTTATGGAGAGAAGTGTGGTGTGTGGGTCTCGGTGTGAGTAATACCTCTACTCTCTTCTATCCAGTTCTGTGCTCTCATGATCCCTTACTGCTCTAGTTCGCTTTTGATGGTCCTTCATAAAGACCATGACCAAAAGCAACTTGAGGAGGAAAATGTTTCATTTGGCTTACATGTCCCAGCCACAGTCCATCACTGAGGGGAGCCAAGGCAGGAGCCTAGAAAGAGGAGTTGATGCAGACACCAAGGGGGAATGCTGCTTATTGGCTTGCTCTCCTGTCCTGGCCAGCTTTCTTTTTGGACAACTCAGAACACCCATGGTGGTCTGGGCCCTTCCACATCAATCATGAATCAAGAAAATGTCTCCACAGATTTGCCTACAGGCCAGTCTGATAGAAGCAATTCTTCAGAATCGGCACACGTAGGTTTCTGTCATTCTTTAGAATTTATTTCAGCGTGTGTTTTCAGTTCCTGACTGTGTGATTTTAGTTGATCCTCATGGCAGGGTTTTTTTTCCCACCAGATTGCCGAGGTTGTTAGGTTCAGGGTTTGAGAGCACACATTGAGGCAGCGGGGAGCAGCGGGCTCACAGCCAGGCGAGACTGACTTTGTGGCAAATAAAATTTCTGTACTATGTCTACTTACTTGAAATTACCCATTCTTTCTTATGCCCCAGTACGTGGGAAATCTTTGTAAGTGGTTTTTTGAATACCCCCTTTTAAAAATGTATCACCTAGTCATTTACCTTAGATGTGCTTTATTAATACATGATATAAGTCTTTGTTCCTACATTAATTCTTCTCATGTGACTCATGTAGAAATGAATGTCCTGTACAGAGAGTGCAAGCCTCTCTTTATAGTTCCTGTTGCTTTCACTTTGAATATTTTTATTATTCTCAACTTGCAGGTGTTTATGATTTAAGTTTCTACTATGAGTTATTGTTACAATTCAAACAGCTTCTCTGTGTTCATTAAGGCCTTTGGCTTTTAATTTAGCTGTCTCAAAACTAAGACCATGCCTTTGCCCCTTTCATCCTGTCTTCATTTGCTCTATGTGGCTTTGTCACTAATGTCCAGAGTGTGTCTTCTGTATATGTGTGGAGTTGGGTTCTGCTCTGAGATGTGATCCTAGCCTTTTTATAAATGGATGGTTTAACCCATTTACATTTATTGGAATCATAGGTATGTTTTATCTATAATAGTTCTGATAGTTGTTTTCAGTGCTTTTCATGTGTGTATGATGTTACCTTTGTCAATTTTATACAGCTATTTCTCCTTAATCTTCAAATGTTAATTCCTACTTACTTTGCTTGCTCACTCAATCCTATCTCCGTGTCTCACTCTGTTTTTTTGTTTGTTTGTTTCTGCAGTAATAATCTTCATGCTGCCTTTGGTAAACAAGTCATTTCTTTGATCTTTTCCTTTTTCTCTTTGAGACTGGCCTCTGTTGATAAGGTTCCACCTTCAGCTCTTGCTTTGCCGTGTTTCCAGGGGCTCTCACGCTGTGCATAGTTGGTGGTTCTGCTGCATCTTCTTTGACTGGATTGCAGATGTTTTCCCGTAGCTGTCTTCTGCTCACTGAGTACTCCTCATCATCAGTTTGTCTTGTTCCTTTCTGTGTTTTGTTTGCCTATTTTACAGATTGCATGACACTCTTTGGATTGTCATTACCACTTTTCACAATTTTTTGGATAAAAAATTTTTTCCAAATTAGCCAGGCGGTGGTGGCACATGCCTTTAATTCCAGCACTCGGGAGGCAGAGGCAGGAAGATCTCTGTGAGTTCAAGGCCAGCCTGGGCTACAGAGTAAAGTTCCAGGACAGGCGCAAAGCTACACAGAGAAACCCTGTCTCGAAAAAAACCAAAAAAAAAAAAAAAAAATTTTACAAATCATATAGCTCCAGGATGGGTGTGGATAGAACATTGTTTCAAACGAGAGAGTCTATAAACTTTTTATTTCCCTGTATATGTGACCTTTAAGGTAGTTTCTAAAAGTGTTAAGAATTGGGTAATTTGTTGTTCGATTATCTGAAAGGCAGGACTAAGCCTCCAGTCTTCTTTAACACAACAGTAATCATGGAGCCTAACGTGAGACCTGCCTTAAAGCTGAAGAACGCGAAGCCTTGAGGACTGCTGTGAATGAACCAGACTCCTGCTGGTTCTTGAGAATGAACTAAGTCTTGAGAACGAATTCAACACACTGAATGGTGTCTTATAGGGGAATGTAAATAAAAACCCCTGTTCTTCTCTGTCTGTGAAAGGAAGTTTTGTTGCTCCGTGCTTTAGAAGGCTTTATTCCCATATGGTAGCTTAACAGACAAGTTAATGATGAACTTAGTTTCCGCCCACACTAGAGAAACTCTGTGAACACAATCCAAGAGAAAGGAGGGAGAGGAAAAAGAGAGTCACCTCAGACTTGAGCTTAATGGCAATGTGTTTTGGTTTTGGGTTTTTTTTGTTTGTTTGTTTGTTTGTTTTGTTTTTTGTCTCTGCACACGTTCTCATGGGCCATTGTTAGCATTTTCCACATGAAGAAACTGAGGCAGAAGAGCCCAGCTAAGCTTTCAGAGTTACCAGCCAGCGGGTGCTGGTTTAGAAAGCTTCAGTCATCTCCCAGCACTGCTGTCCTGCCTCCCAGGTTACCATAGTAACTTAGTTAACGTCTCAACAATGGCTCTGGGATTCTGCAAAGATCCTAGCCTATCACAAAAGGGAATCTTCAAGCCTGTAAGGCTACTTTCTGTGCGCTAAGGGGCTACTTCTCTGAGCAGCCTTCATTAACACACCCAACACTTAACTCGGCATGTTTTTGGCCTGCAGTTTGTAGCCATTAATTAGTCCCTATGAGGTAAGTTTCTGTTATCTCATTTTACAGATGAGGCAGCCAGTGTGGAGGGAAGCTACGTAGATGTTACAGTCTCAGCTGGGTGTTCAGGAAAAAGACAGAGGCTGCCCCACAGTTTGAAGGCCCAATAGAGAATGCCAACCATCTTTTGGCTTCCTCGCCTGTACTATGAATTAGATGCTGTGAAGCTGGGAATCCAGAGGTGGAGTGCCTTGCCTAGCATGTGTGAATCCCTGGGTTCAATCCCTAGCACCACATTGTTTTTTTGGTTTTGGTTTTGTTTTTATCAAGTATGATGATGGTGGCACATGCTATAATCCCAGTGTTTGGAGGTGGAAGCAGGGATTTAGAGTTCAAGGTCATCTTCATCTCTATGATAAGTTCAAGGCCAGCCTGAGGTACTTGAAACCCCAGCTCCCCAAAAAATAAAAATTTAAAAATTAAATTTAAAAAGAAATGCTTACTCTCAACCATACCGCTTTCCAGAATGTGTTATAAATATGGTAGCAACCGGGTGGTGGTGGCAGGGTGGTGCACACCTTTAGTCTCAGCACTCGGGAGGTAGAGGCAGGTGGATCTCTTGAGTTCAAGGCCAACCTGGTCTACAGAGTGAGTTCCAGGACAGCCAAAGCTACACAGAGAATCCCTGTCTCAAAGTAAATAAATAGACAAACAAACATAGCAGAAAAAGTCAAACCAGGGATTTATACTCCTGAAATGTTTCTCAGCAGAGCATTCCTGACTGGAAACCCGAGACCGTTTTAGTTAATGCGTATGGCTGTTTTGCCTGCGTGTATGTGTGCGCCATTTGCATGCAGTCCCTGCAGGGTCCAGAAGAGGGTGTCAGATGCCCTGGAACTAGAGTTACAGGCAGTTGTGAGCAGTCATGTGGGTGCTGGGAAATTTAAAGAGTAGGGAGATGGATCTGATGTGAGATTTAAATACACAGACACACCTAAAAGAGCAAGTCCTATTTTCGAAAGCATGTGTTATGGAAATAGTCTCGAGTTCATTCCAGTGGGGTCCTTCTTCTTACGTGACATGCCTTTTGTGAATTGAATCTTCCATGTTGTGGTATTTTGGGAGACGTTTGCAAGCAACCCAAGGGAGCTATACTTAGTGTGGAAGTAGGTGTGGCCGTGACCTTGTTGCAGCTGAAGTCCATTATCCCACTGATAACTTTGTTGCTAGCACCCACGAATACATTTACATCTGGGGTTTATAGAGTGGGGCCAGCATCACAAGACCCAGCCGATGACACTTGTCAGCTCACAAACACAGTACATTTCCTGTTTTAAAGACTCAAACAAAACTTTTCACATTCTTCTTTGAAGAAAAAAAATTGCATTTGAAGTCCCTTTTCTCCCAAACACATCTGGAGATAAGCGCTCACAAGCCTTGACATTATTTCATTTTGTAATACGCGTCTGTCAAGGAACCCAGATATGATACAGCCGCTAAAAACTGATGATCGCGGAACAGTGAAACCTGACAGCATTTCATTTCCTTTATGTCCTGATTACACATTTATCAGAGAACCTGTATCTCTTCCTTGGAATTGGCAGAATTCAGGAATTCAAAGGCTTGGCAAAGAACTGGCCTATTATTCGGTATCATCTTCCATTTTAGAGAAGTCGCTTGGTGGGGTCATTGTTACAGCATTTTCCTCCCTTTTCATGATTGTGGCCCGCTGTCCACAGATCGTGTTTCTATAGGCCTCATGGCTGCCTTGCTGCACAAATTAAGTGCCGGGATATTTCATACATAGACGCCAGAGTTTCAATGCTTGTCAATCAGAGTTTGTAATATATAGGGATTACAACCTGATATTAACATCCAAATCTATTGTGCTCACTTCGTGCTCGAAAATGAGAAACTTCAGTGCAGATGCTCGAGTCCCTGGCCCCTTTGTCCCCCTGTTTTTAATTTATCTCTGGGTTCTGAGCCAGTAAAATGATTTTGCTTATCAATTTAATGGTGTGATAAAGTGTATCTGAATCAAAGTGATCAGAGCTAAAGTGGATCTACAAGTTGTTCAGCATTCAGCCCTGCCGGGGGTTTGAACGGGGCTGAGACCGCACAGAATGTGGACTTGCCGTGGCTTCTAATTGCACCTCATTGAGTGCTGTGATTTCCCAGGCAGAGAAAGGCATTGCCTCCAAGAGGAGGCTTTGAAAATCTTACTCATGTTCCTTTTCGTGTGCCTCTTTTCCACAGGTGTACTTCAGAAGGAATTATCCAGATATTACTCTCACCAGCCCTGTGGTTATGAACCCCTCCAATGGACAACCCTCAGCCTTAACCATTTTTGAAACAGCTTTGTGACTATCGAGCCGCGGAGCCTGTTCCGGAGGCGTCCCCCCTGCGGGGTTTGCACTTTGTAGACTACAGCAAGCACACTTGGTTTTCACTCTGCAACAAATCCTTCACATACAAGATACTGGTGTCTTTATTCAGTGATTTCAGGTTCTAACAAATTGGTCCATTGTTTTATTTAAATGTTCCAGCTGTGCTTTACAAATCCGATTCTGAGGTGCCGGCCACCGACAGCAGCCGTCTCCCAGGTTTTGTGCCTTAACAGACTCGGGCCAAAGCCCATTTGTTTCATAAGCTGCCGCGGCAGTTTGTTTCTCCTGTTGCCTTCGGAAGTACACTTTGCAGTTCTGTCAGGGATCTATTTACTTGAAGACTGTGTGCAGTTGCCAGCTTGCTCCCCTTTCGCTGACATAGCTCGGACCCGTTACTTTCCCCCAACGGCCTATGACTAAAGTAGTACAGGAGACATACACAAGAGCACGAAAAGATACATAATTTGAGTGACATTGCAGTAGAGAGAGACTATCCCGCCACTCTGCACACACAGAGATATATGGCTAAAGAGCAAGAGGGCATTTCTGTTGGAAAATAAAATTGTGCTTTCTGAGTGGGAGCCCTGATAGGTTTTCTGATGAAGAGTGTGCAAATGTCCCTTCCCATTTAAATTGGTGTGAGTCAAAATGAACTGCTCCTGGGCTGATGGACTAGGCATTGTGGTCTTTTCCCTGGAACAGTGACTCTCAAATGGGTAGTATTAATCTCATTCAGCTTCTGGTTTACAGAAGGGAAATATCCTATTGGCTGTAAGCTTTTTGTGAAATCCTTTCAAATTGACATGCAGAGGTTCTCCTCACATAGGGAGAACCCTGAAAGTCGTTGCAGACATCGGCTGTAATTATGTATTACATTCTCAGGATACATCAAGAAGCTTCACTTTCAAGAACCCATCTAAATTAGTTTACTTCTGGTCACTAATGGCAGGTCTTGGGGACCTTCTGGTTAGTCAATCAACAACCACAACACTTCCTAGGACCTGCTGTACTTCATGTAACTACAGGTCTTAAATTTTTCTGGATGGTGGTATCCATGGTATATGTTGAGTTCAAGTTACTACAGGTTTTACTGTCATGATTTAAAGTGGACCCTTCATGATCTGTCACAATAAGCCACCCTCAAGTTACATATGTTAATATATAGACACATGTAGGATCATGTTGGATATGTCAGTATATATAAATACATATATATGTATGTATCAGGTTTTTAGACTAGTTAACAGAATGAAGCCTGTTTTATAAAATGAAACCTCAAGAAGCACACACATAGCAAAACACCAAAACATACAGCGTGCAGTGGCTGTTCCACTCTGGGTATTCAGAAGTCTGTAATTAATGTAATAATGTTCAGTCCCATAAATGATGTCCATTCGTTCCTGAGCAATCATGGTTAGTGTTTCAAGAGACTGAGATGCATCAATGACAATAAGAAGGTCTGTTTAAATATTTAGAAATGTTTTAAATGTATATATGTGTTCATTTGGTCTTTAGAAATTAAAGCAGTCATAGAAACGTGTTTCTACTTCATTTCTGTTTTTACACCATCACAGGACAAACCAAATTCAACTGAAATAAATGACAGTTTTCATCTCCTTTCAAAGATCTGTGCATTCTTTGAGGGATTATGAGCTGACATGTGTCTGCTGGTGAAAGCCAGTGAGCTTTTGTGAGATCAAAAACCACCTTCCTCCACCACCTGTTTCTCTTGGCCACATGGGTACCAGACAGTCCGAGTGGAGGTGTGGGCTTCAGACAGGCTAAAACAGTTGCTCCTGAAGCTGGTATCCAGTAACTTCTTTCTAGAAGAGAGTATTAGCTTACATCCTCAGGCTTGAACAAGCATCAAATGGTTATGGTTTTTAATTTTTTTTTTTAAGGTGACTTTCCCCTCAAACTAACAGGAAGAATCTATTGCCATTCTGCTGTGGGATATCTTTCTGTACACTGTGAATGTGTGTTGCTCTGATTGGTTGATAAATAAAACGCTGATTGGCCAGTAGCCAGACAGGAAGTATAGGCAGCAGACGAGAATTCTGGGAAGAGGAAGGGCTGAGTCAGGAGTCGCCAGCCAGACACAGAGGAAGCAAGATGTCAAGGCAGAGCTGAGAAAAGGTACCAAGCCACCTGGCTAAACATAGATGAGAATTATGGGTTAATTTAAGTGTAAAAGCTAGTCAGTATTAAGCCTGAACTAATGGCCAAGCAGTTATAATTAATGTAAGCTTCTGAGTGATTATTTTATAACCGGGCCACGGGACTGCAGGGCCTGGTGGGACCCAAGAAACTTCCCGGCTACACCATTCCATTTAAAGCATTGTTGAATGTTGGTTCTCAGTGAGCGTAACCTCCTGCAGCAACTTCACCTAGGAACTTGGGAAAGCAACATCAGATCTACTAGAACCAGACCGGTGCTGTGGAGATCAGGGTGTGGAAATGAGCAGTAATCTGATTTATGAGGCCTTAACATTATTACGTTTCAGGAGACTAAAGGTCTCAGAACTGATGCCCTGGAGCCTTTAGCTCATAAGGCTCCTTAGGAAAAGCTCAGGGTCCAGTTAGAGTTGAGGAAGAGGTATAAATAGGTGCTTCACTGACGAGAATGTCCAAATGGCCAGGGATTGGAAAAGGGCTCGCTCTTGCTGAGAAAAGACAGTTTAACACCACAGTCGGGTGGGGTGAGGTAAAACCCGGAGACGATCAGCAGTTAAATATCAGTGAAGCAACAGGAATGCTGTAATACGACATGAACCTATTTGTTAAAAACAAACACACTTCGGGCCAGTGAGACGGCTCAGAGGGTGGTGGCACTTGCCACCAGGCCTGACAACTTGAGTTTGGTTCCTGGAACCCACATGGTGAAAGGAGAGAACCAATTCCCAGAAGTTGACCCTTGACCTCCATATTGCGTGTACACAGACATAGACGCACACGTAACACACGCACAAGTGAGTGAACATTTTAGAAAGGTATCTTGAAGACATTTGCTAAAGCTATAGGCCCTGTAGTTTGTTCCCTCTCCAGTGTGTGCTCATGTGCCCTAAGAAGTATGTAGGATATCGTTGGGAACATAATTCCAAGTATTTCAACCTGGAAATGACGGAAATTCCCATCATTGGTCGAAGGAGCGGGTGCTAGAATACAGCAATGAAAACAAAGTACAGACACAACACATGAATTTTACAAACATGATCTCATTTCAAAAATGTCTGACCCGAAAGACTTAGGATTCCATTTATACAGAATTCAAATATGGTTGTAACTAAACTGTAGTGTACAGAGTCTTAGTGGCACTTCCTTTAGGAAGCCGAAGCTGTTGGCAATTAGGTGAGATACAATGGAAGTCTTAGGGGCTGGAGAGAGGGCTCAGTGGTTAGTACTAACACTGGCTGCTCTCCCAGGGGACCTGGGTTCACCTCCCAGCCCTACATGGCAGCTCACAGTCATCGGCAATTACAGTTCCAGGGGATCCAACACATAATAATAAATAAAGGGGCCTTTTAGAGTACTTAAGCCTCCCACCCACCGTGTGTGTGTGTGGGGGGGGGGGGGGGTTGGTCTGAGTAGTGTTTAGAATAGTGCTCACAAGGCTTTTCATGTTTTCTGTGCTTTTAATACGCAATACCCCACAACTGAGTGTGCAAAGTTGTGCTTGCTGTTATCTTTTAGAATCTTAACTTCAACCCTGAGTCTCTGACAGAGACATGCCTGAGTGCAGTAAAAGTGAATCATCCACAGCTGGGAAGTTATTTCTCCTGAGTTCTTAAGATGCGTGCCTGTTCTAGGCTTATCTTGTAGCCTGGAGCAAGCAAAGCACTTGCAGCTCTTGGTGCTTGAGAAGCCAAGGTCTGCATTTGCCCTAACTGATGCGGTGTATGCATTTGAAAGGTCACACTAACCCCATTAGCCTAAGATTTTTAACCCAGAAGCTGATCACATCTACATGCAGAATTCCTGTTTCCAACTTTTCATCTTCTAGGATGTGTAGAAATCAGGATTTGGGGTATGCATATAATTTCCTAATAAAAATCCTCCCTGAATACCAGTTCTTTGGGTCCAGGTTGCAGGTTGGCTTGTAGAATAAAGAGTAAGATGGATTTTTAGTATTCCGGATGCTTATTGGTATAGGCAGACATGCCGGTAGGATCCACACTTGTAGTGTCAAGAGAGAAGACTCATGATTGGCCAGAGGGTGAAACTGAGCTGGAGGCTTATCTGGATGACCTTCCCAACACACACACACATCATGAGACATGGCAAAGCTAAAACGGTCTACAAGGGTTATCTTGAGGTGTGAAATAGCTGGACCTTTATGCCTTCATCAGTCATTGCATGTAGCTGTGCCCCAGAACCACAAGATGACAACTGTTTGCTGAATGGATAGCAATGGTTGGCTCCTGAACTTCATAATTCTGAGTTTTAAGGGGTAGCCCATGGTAACAGACTCCTGTTTTTGAGGTGAGTAACGCAGATCTGGGTACCAATTCTACCTATGTCACTCTAGTAACAGAAGAATTTACAACTCAGAGTGGGAGGCTTCAGAAACTGAATGAGGGAAGTGCTCCTTATTCTAGCCAAGGTACCAGGACCATGAACTGGGACTGTCCTTGAAAAGATGAGGCATGGTCACCTGGTGGCCATATACCTTAGCCACCTGTTTATGTCTCTGAATATTTTCAGCTTCTTCACCTTTAGAATGGACCTAATTCCTGCCCTTAAATATTTGTCTTTGGTTGAGATGACTGATGGACTAAGAGCACCCAGGGATACACAAAAGATAGAATTCAGAGGTAATTGTGTTACCCTTGTGTAAGAAGACGTTTCTCTTTTCCTCCAAGATAGGTGTGGATGAAGGTAGCCTGGGAAACTGAAGAGGGAGGTCCTGATCTCATGTTTCTGGCTGAACTTACTCCACATAGTGAAAATGAAGCAAGTACATGAGGAACATGAGCTAGAAAGTCAGGCTTCCTGGCTCCAAATCCAACACCCCTGTGTGTTGGAGGCCTGAGTTTGAATCTGAGTTCTACCTGCTAACTGTGTACTCTTGAACTTGGGAAACCATGCATACTTTCCATTTCTGTAAAACTGGAACAAGGATAGTGCTTTTCTCAGAGGACAATTATAAAGATGGAATGTAAATTACTCAGCAGTAGTGACACTCAAAACTTCACCTGTAGACAGTCCACATAGTATAGACAGTCTGTGATAGGTGTGTAGAAACTTTTCAGCCTTCGATATTGCCAGGGCATCCAAACTCATGATCAACAGATCCCTTGTTGTATATTAGTAAGGGTTCTCTAGAAGAACAGAAGCAATGGAATGAGTATATATTATAAGGGGAGGTGGGTATTAGATTGGCCTCCATTGTAGAGGTTGGGTCAACCATCAGTGTCCACATGCTTAGTCTACAAAGTGAGATGCTCTTCGATCTCAATTTGGAGCTAATGTCCTGGAGGGATCCTGAAGGGGCACTGGTCTTCAGTCCATAGTGGAGCCTGAACACATGAGTCTAATGTCAGCAAAAGTGGCAACAGCAACCAAGATAGAAGCAGTCACTCCCAGGCAGCAAAGGCAGGCAGGCATGTGGCAAGGCTTCTCCTGCAGACTCTGAATCTGGGCTGCTGCACAGGGTGCTGCCTACTCTGGAGAAGACTCTTCTGCCCTCAATTATCTTTTCTGGGTATGCCCCCCTAGACCTGCCCAGAAGTGTGTCTATCCATTGATTACAGCTCTGATCAAATTAAAAATCAAGATTAACCATGGGGTCAAGGTCATGATGGGGAACCCACAAAGACAGCTGACCTGAACTGATGGGAGCATGTAGACTCAGGACCAACAGTGAGGGAGCCTGCATGAGACCAACCTATGCCCTCTGCATATGTGTGACAGTTGTGTAGCTTGGTCTCTTTGTAAGGCTCCTAGCAGTGAGATCAGGACCTGTCCCTGGTGCTTAGCTGGCTTTTGGGAACCTGTTCCCCATCCTGGATGATCTTGTCCAGCCTTTATGCAGGGGGAGGAGCTTGGTCCTATCTCAATTTGGTGTGCCATGCTTTGTTCAAGCTCATGGGAGGCCTGTCCCTTTCTGAATGGAGATGGAGGAGTGGATGGGGCGGGTGTGTGTGTGTGTGTGTGTGTGTGTGTGTGTGTGTGTGTGTGTGTGTAAATGGGACAGAGGGGAAACTGGTTGTATGTAAAATAAATGAAAAAAATGTTAATAAAATTAAAAAATTAAATGCCAAGATGGAAAAAGAAAGTTAACCATTACAGGGCTGGAGAGAAGGCTCAGTGCTTAAGAACAGCTGTGGCCCTTGCAGAGGACCTGCTTTGGTTCCCAGCACCCACATCAGGTGGCTCACAGCCATCTCTAACTCTAGGTCCATCCATTGCCTTCTTCTGAGCTCCACAGGTACCAGGCATGCATGTGACACACATAAATATATGTAGGCAAAATACACACATACACACACATAAATCTTTAAAATGATTAACTATCGTGAGGGATCTAGAGACAAATTTGAG